CAGAGTGTTCCATCGAATTCGTCTTGCCAAGATCCATGCAGATTATTGACTGATAATTCTGGCTGTAAAGGTGCAGATCCAACAGAGAACCTGGAGCTCAATGTTGTGCTAGACGTCTGTGATAACCCATCTCAGGCTTTGCTTTCATCATGGTGATCAAAGTCTTTGCCATTATGCAAGAACATTTGTTGATCAAAGCACTTTTTGCTTTCAACAAATATCGACTTGTCGTTGGTAGTGGTTTGTAGAATAAGTCAAGGTGATACTCATTGATCTCCCCGTGGTTAAATTCACCTCTGGTTCAGCCTCCTATGAGCGCTCAGGGTCAGCTACAAAACAGCTTTAACGGAGCTGGTAGGGATTCAAAGGTACATAATGTTCTAACCAACAAGTCCTCCAAATTGAATGGCAAAATGCATTGTTTGTAATTATCCTTGAGAACAACACATTTTGTCATCTGATACCCGAATTGCCAGGAGAGCGTGATTCGTCAGCGCCCATTGAAACAGTTACAAATCACTGTTGACAAATAAATCAGTTTTACGAGGTGACAAAGCTATGATTAAGGTTTAGGAAAAGATTGGGTTCAGGTAAAAATAAGCTCTTAGTCAAGGTAAGGGAAATATGGTGGTTTGGGGCAAAATTAGTGCCTTTGTTGTCCACATTGGTAAGGTTAGGCAACGCGGTTACCATAAAACAGTTGGAAATGGAAAACAAACAGTGGTCTCCTATGTTAAAGCATGGTGCTTTGTTGACCCATCCAGCCAACCTGACCTCCTCTCTACACTGACTTTTTTGCTCTATGAAAACATTTGCTCTCATCACTATCAATATGGCCGCTAGAGGGCTTTGTTGCTTGTTCTAAACCTTTGTCGTTTTGGGGCACTTGCTGAAGCGACTGATGCTGTCGTTCTTCTTGGAATGCACGTCTCGTTCTTACTGCATGTGTATAATTAGTATTTGATTTAATGTGGAAACAAACAATTATGCAGTCGTACCAGCATGGAGGGGCAGACGGACACACATAGAGCAACTGTTCTAACTGATGCTCAATTGGGATTTAGACGGCAATGACACAACTGTTGAATCCCAAGGTAGCTGCATTCCAATGCACAATTGTAGGCTACAAACTATTGTTTAACTGCACAAAGGCTATAATGTCATATGTAATTGTATAATCAGCTGATGTTGAATCACACTTGGCCTGTTCACTCAGTGTGCTCCAGATAAGGCAGAGACATGTGAGATGTATCTTTCAGGTACGACTACAATCTCTTATTCACAACCACTTTCAGACTGTATAAAAAAGGTGACATTGTTAATGCCTAGCCACACGCTCTACAGAAATTGGGTGCAGAATTCAACCTCTACTACCGGGTCCATACAATCTAAATTTACAGTCAACTACTAACTAACAGATTTTTTTTCTCCTCAAGAACCGAGCCAAGTTCCCATGTCTTGCTTACTAGCTTCTGATTAAAGTGAAGGGGTTTAACCCTGAAGTTAGCGACAACTTCAGCCCAGGCTCTTCAGCCTATTCTCATTTTGGGGACAAGCCGCTCCTCTGAGTTTTGCTCAGCTTTTATAAAAAAATAATAATAATAATTTTTTGCTGTTTAACTGGCAATAATTGATCAGAATTCTTATTGTTCTTTAATGGTTAAACGGTTCATGTGCATTAAGCACTTAGATAGCAGCCAAACTCAGCTTCCAGTTTTGTGCGCATAATGCAAATCCTAGATGCAAGATTTGAGATATTTAGTGAAGCTCAAGGACGCTTTAAACCACACCCGCTGGGTAAAGTCACACCCAGCTAACCCTGCCATCTACAGAACAGGTTACTGAAATTACAATATAATAAGAGTAAATTCTCCAGTCTTTTTCCAGAGAGCAATGAAATAACCCATATGTGTGCCAAAGTAAGATGTAACGGGATCTATAATTACTCCGGAGAACAGGAACACAATTTCATCTATTTACGCATCAAGACTCCCTCAACTCTCCTCCAATCAGATCCTAAATGTCAAATGTCAGCTTCAGTCCACCTCCTCCCCCGTTATTCCTTCTCCTGTCCATAGTGGAGCTACACAACCCGTTTTCAAATCAATGTTTCACCTTTCAAATTAAACATAGTATTTACCGTGGAGACCAACTAATCAGTCAGTCAATCTGTCAATAAGTCAGTCAACCAAACAGTTAACCGATCAGTCAGTCAGAACCCGACAAGACTAGGAAGCTGCTGTCCAATCTTTCTTCACTCTCAATGTGGAGTTTATAACACCGCTGTGACTAGTAGACAAAGAGTGGTTAATTTGTTAACTATCACTCCATTGGTTGTCAGCTGCAGTTCCCAAATTGGCAGCGAGCAGTAATCCCAAATTCAAGCCTCAAAGTTCCCTTCAGAGAACTATGAGCAATCTCAAAGATGCAATGTGTGTGTTTTGCCTCAGTCTGTTTCCTACAGGCTACACTGCTCTGAATTAAGTTTTCTTTTCCGTGGGGCTATGAGATTTCTCATGGGTATGATGCGGGTTGTGTTCATATACCTTTCAACGCCGAGCTTAAAAAACAATTTCAAGGTTGAGAAATGGAGGATCTGGCAGCATAAAAAGAATGGAAAACCACGGTAGGCTTTTAAACGGGAGCAGCCCAGTGGAAAAGTGTGTTGAACCTCGAAATGGCATACTCGGCAATGTCATTGTTCAACTCACAAAGCAGTGCCTACCGACAAAAGCAAATGACAATTTTTGGAAGTATTCAAAATATATTTAAAACCTCTACAACCAAATGGTTGCAGCGCATGACACAGAATCTCAACATCCCCGACTCAATTCCAGCTGCTGACATTCGTTGACCTTTATGTTTAAGTTCATGGATTTTCCTCTGGCATGATCCCGGTGCAGTGTCATTACTGCATTTATCTGTCTCGGAGGTCTCGGGAAAACTTGGAAAGAATCTGCTCCTGGGATTGATGCAGCTGGTTCTTTCTGACATGTTTCAGAAGGCTTCTGAAAGCAACAGACTGCTTGCTGAAATATTTAACAGTCAGCAAGTCACAGAGAGGCCTGCTGGGCAACTCCAAAGGCAACATCCACCTATTCAATCTATATTTCATGGTCATGAATGAATGATTGATTGACTTTTCTTTATATAGCATATTTCCTGACCGGGGGGGGGATACTTTCTAATGACGAGGTGAAGTGAGTAAAGTAAGATGTAACAAGAATGAGGTAACTGCAGCTGTAGGTCACGGAAGCACTCTCGTTTGTTTTTAGTTTTTACTAAACTTACCTTACCTTTACTGAATCATAAATAATTTGGGAAAAAAAAAAAACCTGGATCTGGACAAACACTGGAAAGCCTGTTTCAGCCTCTGCTGCGCCCCTGTCCTTGCTGATTGTCACGTCTGGGGGATAGGCGACAGCATGCACATGTCCTTTACCATCTTAGCAGACATTAAAAATAAGAGGCCCGCTGATGCTACTCATGGGTAGCTTCAGCGACATAATGTCACGGGGAGAGAGATCTGGGACACTTCCTGGTACGTCTGTTGACTCAGCCGCAGACACAGCACCTGCCCATTAAAGTCTTTCCTGTAAATTGCTCCTTGCACAATTGACAGTGAAACCCACCAACACATTGTACATGGTTGCAGTGTTCCAGGGCACAAGTACACACACACACACACACACACACACACACACACACACACACACACACACACACACACACACACACACACAATGGGCATACTGACATAACGAGAAAATTAGTGGGTTAAAAAAATAAACTACTGTATTTGTCTACCTGTATAAAATCGGGATTCATAATTCATCTTTTGCTGCAGGCTATTTCAAGAGAAGAGAGCATTAAAATGTATTCAGTTCAGATTCATACCTCATTCAGTTTGAATAGATCTACGTATAAACCACAAAGCATACAACTATACGATGTATAGCAATAAGAGGTTTATATAAGATTGTATAAGATTGTTCTGATATTTAAAAAAAGTCATTTTGTAACTTACTTAATGAGATGATTGATATAGTTTTTTTTATATATATTAAATACAGTGTGTAGCACAGTGCATTGCGGATCTATGTCCCTTGCTGGAGCAGAGAGCGTCTCTCATTCAGTCTCCTGATTAATATTTTCCAAGTTGACCTGGGGATATGTAGTGTTGATTTGAAGACTGCAGATCTGCTGCGTAAGCATTCCGTCCCTTATGTGTGATCTCACCTATTTTCACAGCCCTCAGGGACATTATAGGAAATCCACAACATGGCTTAACTAAATATAGTTTTTGATTGGTCATTGGTTTGTATTGTGTCTTGTCATTCTCTAATTTTTTTGTCTCGTGTCAGCCCTAATCTTATTTTTGGGGGTGAAATCTGTAATATCTGATCAATAAAAATTCCTTTATTATTCCACTATATCTTTTTTTTTAACTTTGTAAACATTCTCTAATCTAATTTCCTCTGTGAAGACTCTTCAAGTATTTGCAAATATCTACACAAACACATCAAATTGGTTGGTATAGGCTGAGTCCTCTTAGGAAAGTTATGGTTTTTAAGTTGCATTTTTTTTTTTGCATCCTTTGATTCAGGGGCTGGTCATTATAATTAATATCTGCAACAACATTGCATTCTACACAAAATGACTGAGCCAACAGGAAATGTTGAAGGAGCAGCTATCCCTCCCAGCTCTCCCCAAAAATCAATAGCATTCCTGGCTATTGCTATGTCACAAAGGGCTTTGGGTTCACACCCTGATCCAACTCCCAAAACATAAATCATTCATCACCAGCACGTACAGAGAAAAAGGCAGACCCTGACCTTTCCCTGTAGAGGTACAGCAGATCATAGAAACAACTTGTTCCAATGCAATTTCCATCCTACTTAAAGTCACATGTAATACTGGACTATATACCATTTTTACTTCTCACTCACTTTTTCTCAATGTGTCTCTGCCTCTATATTTCTCTCGCCTTCCCCAGAACATGACTTGAAGATGAGCGGCGCTCAGGCTGAGTTAGAAGAGAAGGACTGTCCTCCACCAGAGGAACTAGAGTGTAAAATCTGTTACCAACGCTACAATGCCCACAACCGCAAGCCTAAGATCCTGGACTGCCTGCACCGGGTCTGCGTCCGCTGCCTCATTAAGATTTTGGACATCGCTGACGGGACGGGCTTCGTCTCCTGCCCCTTTTGCCGACACCAGACTGAGGTCACAGAGTACGACGTGTCAGCCCTCCCTGACGATGCTATCATCATGTCCTACTTGGCAATGCGGGACAAATCCTGGAGCTCCGACCACAACAGGGAGGTGGTCCTAACTCCAACGAGTTTCTCCTCCTCCAGCCCGTCTCACGAGTCCTCCAACTGCCTGGTTATCACTATAATGGAAGTACAGGGGGACTTACAGCACTCCCCGAGCCGAAACGGCAGCTCTGACGTCTACGCCGAGCAGAGCCTGGACTCGGTATCGATAGGCTCCAATGGGCCGGTTGATCAGGACGCTCTGTCCAAGTTCTGTAATCACGTCCCGCGCATCCTGGTCTGGCTGCTGGGTTTCTTATACTTTGGCTCACTGCCTCTAGGAATCTACTTGTTGGTGATCCAGAGAGTGACACTGGGCATTGTATGTGTTAGCTTGGTGCCATCGAGCCTGACAGTTTGCCTGGTCTACGGGTTCTGCCAGTGTCTGTGCCAGGGCATGTGTGACTGTTCCTCCAGGGGCTGATGGGACGGGACGGGCCAGCTGCAGTGAGCAGGTATTTGATGCGTTTTTACCCAAAAAGGTAAAGATGAGGCCAACACAGTCTCCAATACAGACTTAACAAATAATGGGCGAGTACAGAGACCTAAGACTGCCTTCAGTACTGGTCCAGTGCAACTCAGAAACCAGTTTGGCCAACAGGAACAGAGCAGATCTCAGATCTCCTGACAAGATGTGTTGGTTGGAGCGGCGCCTATACATACATTTCTGTAATGTATTTCTGTAACCCATATTCGTTCTGTGCTGTGTGTATGACCTAGTTTGACATTATATTTGAGAGCAGACCTTTAATTTTTGACTTAAATAATGACAGCACTGATAGAGTCCTCGGCCCTCATTTATCAACACTGTGCCACCAAAATATAATTGTGAGTTCCCAAAGACAAAAACAGAGGAAAATCAAAGTTGTATGGGACTTTGGCCACCAAAATCAAAAGCACCTCTTAGACACTAATTACTTATATTTTCATAGAGTGTTCTTCAGGTCCATAAGCCAGCATTCATGGCACTACACGTTACCAAATATTTCCCCTCTGTGCAAGTTGAATATATGTCAACTCAATTGTGATACTGGTCTTGCCATGAGCTCCTAAAAAATGCATGGTGAAAAAGCATTGGTGCGCTGACATCTATGGGTTGAAGTTGTTGAATTTCAGTGTATTGTTAAACAATGCAAGGAATATTACAGGAAAAGGCTGTATGCATATCTGTATGCAACGCACATGTCAGCGAGGACTAAATACAAATGACCTAATCAACTGTGAATTGGCAATAATATTTTATTTTTTACCTCTTTAACTGTCACAGCATTGGCTTTGGTCTTACATGTGATGAGGTCCTGAGCGTTGCTTTTTGAATGTGCCCTGCTCCTCTTTCTCTCTCTCCATCATTGCGTTAAATGGATTTAGCACATATGAGGCATAAATCAAGACTCATATCTCAGGTTTTTTGACAGTCTTTTGATGTTAAGCAACGACCGTTACCATTCAGTTCCTTGTCGGTTTGAAAATAGCACAGGCTGCTCTGTCGTGTTTTGTGGTACTGGTTGTAAAAAGCTACTAAAGGTTCAGTTTATGGCTCTGGGAATCCTCTGTTACCTTCATGCTGTAAGTCACATGCACATACTGCCATGTTGAAGCCATGTGGATTTGTTGTTGTGTGGCACCTCAAGGTTGTGTGCTTTATTGATGCGGCATCTTGGTTTTCTTTTGCATGTAAGGCAAACGCTCCCCTACATGTCATCATCCTGGCATGCGGATTTCAGGAAGGAAGGTAACAATAAACTATGATGTTATTTTAACAATTATTATCATTTATAGTTATTATAGTCCTAAATGTAATTTCACATGTATGTAGAGAGAACATTTGTTATATTTGATTAGGTCTGCTGAAGCTTAAAGCTTCTTCTGTGGGTACTAAGCAGTAGTTTTCATTATAGCTATGTGACCAAAACAAACATTTCAGTGTGCTAGAATCTTCTGAGACATCTTCAGCTGCTGCAGTTGTACCCAGCAAAGGGTGACATTTCCAGCACCACTTCAAAAATAAAAGGTTTAGACTATAGATTGAGTGTTTTTATTATGTAAGTGGAACTTTCTGTTCCTGAGCATGGTGGTTTAGAATTTGATGGTTTTATCAATTCGCACTACTTTTGAGGAGTGCTCGGAGCAGTTACGCACAAGTGAAATTTACCAACTTTCTTGTACTCATTCCACATTTTACTCGTAGGAGTCAACCTTTTCTGTGCAATGTTGATAACTGAGGGACCTGGGCTGATCAAATGTAGATAGAAATAACAAACTTCAGGTAATTGTATTTCTCATCAAAATGGAGTATAATGTCCAGTTCGTCCTGTTCATTCTCTGATGTGGGGTACACATTTCCCTATCTTACCTTTCCTTTGTCAACCTTCTATCACTGTTTCTCTAGCCGTCTCTGTACCCACTCCCTCTATGTTTTCCTGTGTTGATCTACAGACTACAGCTCTCAGCTTAGTGCCACACTTCTGATTACAGACGCTACTAGACAATGAAATAAATGGAGAATTATTTTCTATATTTTGCTTGTGTACTTATTTCTAAGTCTGCTGCCTGCTGATTCCGTCCATAACAGTCAACATCGCTGTCATCTCAGGTTAATCTTGCAAAGTGTGTCTCATCCACCTCAGCGAGGCAGGATGCTGTTGTTGTACTTCAAACCAACCAAATCACAGAAGGTAGGGGCTTATTTGTAACTTTACAGAAAAAAACATATTAATCTCCGATCCACTGGATTTGTAAAGTCTCTTAATCCATGTTTTTTAACAAGATTCTTCAAACCGTCACAAGATTGATGAGATGGAGGTCTGGCTGCACAAGATTACTTTCAAGTGTCACTAAAATAGCGATAGCTCCAAAGCGAGAGACCACAAAAGAACAATTTCTCTCACATGTAATGATGGAAACTCAGCACGATAGTATTTCTAACTCGAACAAGATCAATCAGCCTCTCATTTTTTATTTTTTTAAGTACAATAGGAGTCAAAGATAATAAAGCAATAAAGTGCTGAGGCTGGTTTATACAGTACAACCAGCTGGAGACAGACACGATAAGAAGTAACAGAAAATAAATTAGAGATGAGAGACAACGGCGGCAGGTCAGACAGTAGAAAGAGATTTCATTTTCTGCCTGAGTTGGCAGAGCAGCAGGACAGAGTGCTTGTCAGCGGAGCGTTTGCCCTGCTGGTTGTACCGTCTAACATCTACAGGATTCTGCTTTCATCTTTCTGAGCTGAGTGGCAGGTCACATTTAAAAACACGTAAGGGGACCCTGAATATCAGGATATCCCACAGACGTCACCTAACTGTCATCAGTTTGCATATGGACTCTTTCTCTATTTAAAAATGGTCTAAATTACACAATGTGTGCAGTACAAGTGTAGTTTGTCAAGGAAAGGTTGTGAAAATAAAGAACCCTTGAGAATTGAACTCAAAAGGAGTGAAGTGGTAGAATTTCTTCAATTAATAACAAACACAAAAAAATGAGGAGCTCAAGGGTCTCAGAGGGAGCAAATATCTATGCGATCCTATGATTATGCGATCAATGTTATGTGAAGGGTCCCTGGGAAGGAAATGCTCACTAAGAGCGGAGGAGGATTTTGATTGGGAAGAGAAGTTCCCCGCTAGCATCAAGCAGCACGGGTCACGCAAACCTGTGACCTGGCTATATTTATACACGCATTCACTAAAATATTCAACAATTTCAGGTGTTCCAAGGAGATGGAGGAGCATGAATTTTAATTACACATGAATTATGTATAGTCGCAATCTGCTTTTTCTCTTTATAGCACACACTTAACACACAATCCTTATCTTTTCAATTGATAATGGGGCCACATGCACTGCAATCACCATAGGTTGAGAACAATCAAATGAGAGCTGGAGTTGGTTGTGAAGGTTTTAGCTGGTCACTAAAAAGATTTGGTAGCAGTTCAGCTTGGTATGAAGTGTGAGAGCCAGAACTTTTGAAATGAACATTCTCATCTGCTGCTGGGAGAAAGAGTTCAGCCGCCCCTATGAGCTGCAGTGGACTACAAAAGGGACCGTGCTTTGGAAAATCTGACTGAATCAGGTAAATAGGTAAGGAATATAATCATGGAGCTCGAAAATGGAACACTTGTGGAAATGTGCAACCATCATGTTGTGGACTTTTATTGTCATTTAAACGGAGTGGCCTCCATCAACCCATCAAAGTTATGTTTATTTAAAGTCATCAAATCTGATGGGAAGATGCTGCATCTGGCGCTTCAAACCAAACCAAAACCGTTTTGTTTAAATTACATACATGAGATTGGCAGGTGCACTGTTAGGCCTGGGATACGTTTGATTTATTTTCTCTAACAATGTCAGAAAAAGTTATCTTATTTACCTTCATCACTGATATAAATGTTTTTTTTTTGGTATGTTTTTGCACAGCAGCACATACATGGATGTTTTCCATGTTAATGGTTACTAAACTCCACTACCATATGAGGCAGATGTATGAATGACTAGTTTTGACTTAGCTAGAAATTTAAATAAAATGTGGATCTTCACATAGAAAAAAAAGACAGCCTTCATGTCCTGTGGAATTAATAGATAATTACACAAATGTGCTCGTTTTAGTGTGTTCCTCTGATGAGGAAAACTCAGATTTTAGAAGTGAAGGGTCAGATCCCATTTTAAACGGGACAATATAGTATGCAATTAAGATATCAGTATAATCATATCTACAAGCAAAAGAAGGCCGAGGATCAAAGAATGAAAACATTTATTTTTTTAAATCACAATTTCCTCCTCGCCATGTCTGTAAATGATTACCCTAAAAAGAACACATCAATCAATAATGACAATATGGCTTGTTCATTGTGTTGTAGCAGATCTATGACAGTGAATCTAACTAAAGTGGATGGAGTCTCTGTCTGTCTGTCCTTCAATTTTCTCGTCAACTGTTTATCGGATTGACTGCACACATGGTGGGTGATTAGATGAGGACTCAAGGAAGTGCAGTGTTGAGTGTGAAGTATTTTGGACTAATGGTTCTCAAAAAAGCTGCAAGCAGGAAGAGCAGAGGCCATGCAATCGGCAAGTTTCGAAAAGGAACATTTTGAACGAGCACTGCAATAGTGGTTTAGAACTTATGTTAAAAACAATTCCAGTATAACCACTGCAGCACCTTGAAGGAGAAGTATCGTTTCACCTTTAAGTGTTCTTCTTTGTTAATATCTTGTTTGGCTGGCAGGGAATAAGGGAGCAGTCTCAGGAAATAGTGCCTGTAAACACTTTTTTAACAAGCTCTAGCCGACACAATTAGTTAAATCGATCAAAGGAGGGAAGTGGAAGAATTGTTAATTTCTTAAGTTAATCACAAACACTAAAGATGAGGACGTTTACTAGAGCACAGGGGTGGAAAGAGTACTCGGGGGGGGAATGCTTTGTTAGACCTCCCAGTAGACTAAAAGTTCTGCATTCAAAATCTTAGTACAGTCTAAATGAGGAGCCTAAATGTACTAAGCTTCGTTCCATCACTGCGAGGGCACAACATTGTTTACAAGAGCACAAAGTTCTTCATAGATCCTCTTTATTTTTTTCTTAAATGTCCAGGGGAGCATGTACCAGGACCCCCAACATCCTGTAGGAAACACTGAATGAAATATAAAATACTTTCAATGGTCTAATTACCGCCAATATAAATCTCATCCACACACAGAAACACACATCTCTTTCTCTCTGGGCTGTTGCTATAGAGACACAAATAAAATTGTCAGACCCACTGAGATGTTTCCCTGATGTGGCTCGAATGACAAGAGCTGCTGATGGCTGGAACACAGAGCACCGGCCCTAGAGCAAGGCACTAACTCTGCCGGACCAATGCCTGGCATGACAAACAAACCAATAATGACAGGATGTACCAATTGGCACTGCAGCACAACTGTCATCACAGCGCTAAGATTCAAACTGGCATTTAGGCAGATGTAGAAAAGGTTGCCATGGGGATTTGCTGGAATAGTCTGGAAAGAGATGGAATGCAGTTTTTGTCACAGAATGGAAAGAAAAAAGATGTCATGATGATCATATAGTGTCTATTACAGCCTCCTATACCTAAAAAACATCCAAGTTCATTAGCACAGATCAGAAATTAACCATTTTTGAATTAATAAATTGTAAGGTGATATTAAACAGACAAACAAGTGTTGTAACAAATCTTGAAATTCTTTTCTTATTTATATTAAAGCTACGGCAGGTCTGAACAAAGTGGCGACAGCCAAAAAGTAGACAATTCAAATTAGAAATCAATGAAGTTATTGGTTGCATTTGAAGCAGGAAGTTTTACATCCAATCACAGTAATTATCAGACAATAATCAGACAGGCACAGGCAACTTAGTGATATCCCCACAGTTGTGGTTTCGACGTAAAATCCAGAGTCTCTTTGTCTGAGACCGAGACGAGAGAAAGTAAAAGCACGGCCGAGACGAGACGAGACGAGAGTGGGACCTTGAGAAAGGGGTCTTGAAGACTGGTCTCGAGTACTACGACACTGGTATCAGCAGCAGACATCAGAAAGTAATGAGCAGCAGGAATAACATCAGTGCCACGGATATAAGGAAGTAAGCACCATAGCTACTAGTGGGAGCAGTGTCACAGAGATACTCAGATCAATACAGATCAATGGGCCAAAGTCAGAGAGACCGGCACACACACAGCAACACTGCTATCATTGCTGGTGTTCGCTTTACATTTCACATGCTGACTCTGCTCTGTTGATTCTACACTTTATTAAAGATAGGAAAACGAAGAGCTAGAAAGTCAATGAATTCAGCTTGAGCAAGTGTTAGTCAATTTATGCATTCTGAGTAGTGGAGACTGATAGTAGATGGACTATCAAGTGCAGTGGAGTGGGCTGATCAATAGAAAATAAATTGGAGTGTTATCTTGGACAAAATTGACTTCAGATAAAATGCTGCGTTTAAGTGTGGACTGTTGAGGCACCAGCTGAGCCAAAGTTGTAGCCTCACATGCTACTCTGGCATCAGGGGTTAAGATGAGATTAACCCGCCCGCCATGCAGCAGGGTAGTTCCGGGGCTTAGGTCAGTGACAACGGTTGTAGTGTGAAAGTGACGTTTTGAATGAACCTACTTTGACTTCTTCCTGTAGTTTTCCAAATCGTAATGTGCCATTCAGGATCCTGCTGACGAATCCCTGCTTTTCCTGCTGAAGAACCGAAGCCTGGGGAGGTAGAGAAGGAAGACAGGGGGTTACTGATCCAAGAGAGGAACACAGAGGGGGGGGGGAGGTGGAACACACAGCTGGATGAAGGAAGTAAGGGATTATGGGAGAGACGATAAAGGAAAAGAAGGAAAGACTCTTGAAACTGTTGCCAATTAACAGTAGTCCCATGTGAGGTAAAAACACTGCCACAAAATAACTGTTTTCAGTTCAACATAACCAATCAAAGGTTTGAGGTGTGCAGAAAAATAGGAAGGAAAAGGATACAAATAAAAACAGCATCAAAACAATGGTGAAATGTCTGTTAGCCTACAAAACACAGCTAGCGCTGCGCTAATGTAGCATCAAATCAATTTAACTCCGGCTTGTGCTGTAAAATGAAAGTAATTTACAGCGAATTGATTGCACAACGCAATTGCAGCCAAAAAGTCCCAAATTCGCCCTATTAAGGTTGACGTGAGCTTCTGTTTTAAAGTTGTAATTAAGAAGGAAAAAAAGCTGCTCCCGAAGTACATTTTCTTGGAGTGTAATTTGAATAAGAGAGCATGTTTATTTTCTGCATTTCTACACTTTTATTTATGTTTCTCAGCTTGATAAATTCATCCAAAATAACAATAAATAATAAGTCTTTTTGAAACAGTTCCTTCATCGAAAATGAAAGATGTTTTTGTATCGTGCCGAGAACATCAGATAGTGTCTCGGATATTAACATACATGCAGTAATCCTGAAGGTCACAGACAGACATTGAAGGCAACTACAATTGTACTTCAATGGAAGAGCCAGTCTTCTTTAAATCTGCTCCTATAGAACAGCTCCTATGTGGTCCAGCCACAAAACAGCAAATAACAAATCATATTTTTACTGTGTGCATGCACAGACACACACATCTTGTTCTCTTCCAGACAAATTGGTTCTTGTTAGCTTTAGACCCGCTACCTCCAATATGGTGTCAGTGTGACCTTCCACACATGATGGGCTCTGGCTTTTCCTCGAAAAAGAGTCCCTGAATCTATTAACATTTAACAGAAAAACTTTCTCGGTTCCTCTGCCACACACTCAGCCAACTGAGCCAAGTTCTATTTGTTTCAGATTAGCTTAATGTTTTGGGTTTGACATGGCTCTGACCATATTATTATATTCTACCAAAACTGCAGAGCAACTCCTCTACCATGTCAGAATTATCACCCAAAAAAAAAAAGACTACTTCAGTCAAGTATTAAGGCTCTGAAAGAACAAAAAGTTATATTGATAGCATAAGAGTCTTTTGTTAATCAATACAATGCTCCACAGCGAGAAAATGACATGTTCTTCGAAATTAAATATTCTATGATTTCATGCCTGATTATTTCTTGCTGAAAAATCAAAATCACTAACTAGAAAAGTGCACTCAGTACAGATGAGATGTCAGCCAAAACAAAGGCCGTGTGATCCTTGTGAATTGTCCTTCACATCTTTCCTTGACATTCTGACGTTTTCTCATCGAGGTCAAGGAAAAGACACAGGACATCATTTTTAGCTCACCTACATGTTTATCAATTACACTGGTGCTTTTCCTGCTATGACATGCCAAGATGTCTGCAGCCAAAGGGTCTATTTCAAGCACCTTACGTACATTCTGTGGAATGTTTAATCACTCACACTTATCACACCCCCCCTCCCCCTTTTCTGCATCTCACAGCTGTGCTGGCATGGAGACTGGAAACTGCTGTGTTTGATAAATGACAAATACACGACTTCTGGCACCAACAACTAAAGGTTCCTCTGACTTTTCTGCCTCTGCTGACCAACCGCCATCAGCAACATGCTGCTCCGTATTACTCAACAGCCTAAATGGAGTAACACAGCATGAGTTGCTATTTTACTATTTGTGAATATGGACTACTGCAACACATAAAGGTATTATATTCATATATTAACATAATATAGTATAAAATAGTACAGTAGAATATAGAATGGGACATAAAGTATAAAGGGAAATCACTACACTTAACGTTATGTTGAATATCCCATACTACATTATGTCAAAATGTTTCATTACATTATGTAAGTTATTATATTCATATATTTATACAGACAAACACTAAGTATCATTACTTAATCATATTATGTATATTGTGGTGTACACTGTTATAGTAGATCATACCACTCTTGCATATACTATGTTTTGATGACTTCGCGTCTACTAATCACACCACTGTGACTTACCTTTAGACAGGACTGCACTAGTAGTTGAAGTACAACACTGGGTACTGTATGTGTACTACTTGCCTTGCAATGTTGAGTTTAACTGCTTTTGATTAGTTAATTTTTTTAATCTATATTCTTACTTTTTTGTTTTTTTTATCTGTGCTGAATTCCCCCCCATGGGGATCAATACAGTCGTGTATTAAATTGGTGCAAAAACAAATGAAAACATTTTAGATTTTTTTGAATTGTTTTTAAAGCTATAATAGGGAAGCTATAATAATTGTACTAATTAGTCCATTTTTGTACAGAAGAAATGATCTGTGTGTTGGTGTGTCTAAGTCCTGGCTGACAACAATTTAGCCTTTGGGGGCGAATACATTTCTAAGGTTCAGGTTTTTTTGAAATGCTAATAAAGCAGAAATCCTCGTCAGATGATGGCGGATGGGTTATTATTGATTGTTTCCCTGCTTGCAGCCAAAACTCTCTCAAACATGATTGTCGTCCGAGTAGCATTGACCAAGGGGAAACCAGAACGCTTCTGACACCAAAATCTTGTTCCATTGCATTCATATGCAGCTATCTGCTTATAGAGATTATGAGTGTCTGAACTATCACGTGTAATACCCAGACCTTCTGCAGTGTCAAGAGTTCAATGTGTACTCCCTTGTTTTACTGCAGTCATAGAGGTCTCAGGGATATCACCAGCACCTGTATGTGCATACATTGTCTCACTAGGGTGTCAGTAGTGCTGCTACTCCATGTGAATCATGTGTACCACGTGATGTACTAATTCTTTCAACACTATCAGTAGCATTGGTAGTACCATTTGTAATAGTTGGTCTCTCTCCAGGGAAATGTGCTCAGCCACAGAAATGACAGCTCCCATGTAATGCCGAGTGTTTTCCTCTTTCAACGCGCACTCTTCCTTCTGTCTCTTCAATACACTCATCCTCCTCTCAGCTTTCCTGGATGATGGAGAGACGGAGAGAGAAGAAGATAATAAAACTGAATATAAGAAAATAGATGGGGGGGGGGGGGGAGAAAAACAATGAGACAGAAAGAAAAAAGAGGATGGCAAAAAATAGGAGGACGTATAAAGCGGAGAAGGGAAGAGATTTAGAAAAGAGTGAAGAAGAGTAAAATGTCTCAGTGGTTAAGGGAAAGAAACAGGGCAGATGGAACAGTTGAAAACAGGGAATACAAACATCTTGAGACCCTGCCTTTATGATGGGAGCATGGTGAACACATCAAATAATCAAACACCTTGACAATCTTCACACTTCAGAATGAGAAAGTCCACTTTAATCTCAGCTCAGGTCTCCAGGGAGCCGAGGGAAGTGGCAGAGACCAGACCACATTTTAAAACAGCTGGAATCCCTGACCAAAATAAATTGTGTACTGTAGGAGAATAACCTGATGTGAACTGTGGTATAATGTGAACTGTTGAAAAGTCACTCTGGCAACTTACAGATTGTTAAATAACTCTCTCGCAATAAGACATCATTTTGATTGTACTCTTTGGGTAGAGCGGGCATATTTTTTTATAACATGAGATAGAACACTGAACATAAAAGGGGTTCTGAGCATTGCCTGTAGTTATCACCCCGCTGACCTTTCCAGCAACCAGAGATGAAGCTACCAGCTCAAATCCCACTTCAGCATAAACTGGGAGTGCTAATTAGTGGTTTGATGAAGTGGTTGGCGATTTGATTTAAGGAGGACTTCATGTTTTTTTTCTTTTTTAGTTCAATTAAACTCTCTGGTTCACACTTGATTCAATAATTATTAGCCAGAATTGTATAACCATTATATGCCCTGCAAACCCAAACAGGTATTTCATTATATTATATTCCGGCTGACTGCACCTCTGTCGAGGTTAAAGTCGAGCAGAGCTATGCTGAAAGTGATGTGAGGTCACTAAACTCCATGTACTAGTAAGAATAATTGAGTTGTAAGCCTCCCTGTCCTAAAAGGTGCAACAAAGTCAACAAGAGATGGAGGGAGATGTCTATCAAACAGTTTGTACACGACCGCACTCTCCTGAGGCCCTAATCTAGCAAAGTAATGTGTGGGTGGACAATGGGTGTGAAGGGGCTTTAAATAATCACATTCTTCTATGTTTACTGTATAATAAGTATTATAAACAGCCCCTTATCAATCTTAGAAGACTTTCTAAGTCGATTTTGTCATTCACTTTTAAACGCTTTTTTTAAACAGCAGATTATAAAACATGCCAATGATATTAGCTGGACTAGTCTTGACTGCACATCTTAGTCTCATCAACAGTATTAGTAGCAATAGCAGTATTAACAGGGACAGTAGCAGTACACTGCCAAAATAAAGTGTCTAACATTTCTTTGAGGAGACGTGATGGAATAGTGGCTGACTGGCATGTCATAGGCTTCATGTGTAAGATGATATCAGACAAAGAAAGAAGTATATTAAGTACCTGTTGGCTTGTTTGGTGAGATCCTGCTCAGCCTCCATTCTCTTTATATCAGCAGTCAGGTTGGCCTTGTCCAGAGCCAGACTCCTGTTCTCCTCTTGCAGGCTGGACGATCTGAGACGTGTCTTATCCATCTCACTCTTGTTCCTACTCTCCTGCTGCTCCAATTGTCTGAGAGCCATGAGCAGATTGCACAGCACATTATAACAAAACATCTGGGCCTTGGTGAACACTTTTCAACAAAGAACATTCCATCACTACAAAATGTACAAACCTACATAGAGTTTTACTACTACTTGTTTTGATTACTTTCCCACCTCTATCAAATATAACTAAAGTAATTACAGCTAGGATTCTGTACAACATTCGTCACATCCCAGTGCTCCTGTTTACTGCGATTAACAAAGCAATGCTTCAAGTGCTACTCTTGTTTCTTTGTTTGTCTTGTTCTTGCTTTGTCTTCTACAAATCAATTTTAAACTGAATAAATAATAAACTGAAGTAAGACGTAAGAAGACGACGAGGAGCTCTGGCATGTGGCCTTTTGGACAAAATCAAGGACTCGGTACACCCTTTCCTAACATACAGCGAGCGAGAGTGTGTGCCACAATGTCGCAGTGTGTATCACTAATAAAAACTACTGAGTAGTTACATTCTTGTCTTTCTTGTTCTTACTTTGCAAAACGAAAATAACTGTGTCCCAGTTAAGAAGCAGAACTGTGTTTAATACCGACTGATTCATCCTTTTAAAGAAAGAAATGTTTGATAAAATGACACATTGTAGCCGTACCGCCTGAGTTTCCCAGCTATGTCGCAGTGTTCGTCCCACGTGACGGCATCCTTGAGACGGGCCTGCAGCACTTGTACATCCCTTCCATTTTTCTGCAACTGTCTCCTGCTCTCTTCCAGGTCCTCCTGCAAATGCTGCTTTTCTGCTTCCAACAACATCAGCTGCTTACACACCTTGGAAACTGCAAAGCGAGGGAAGAGAAGTAGAATTCTACTTGTTTATGCGGTACACCGATTACATTAATAATTAAATATGCTGGACAGCCTCCTTTTCAACTTTAAAAAAAAATCTAAATCAGCGGTTTATGTTTTATTCCTAAAGTGCCATTTCAAGCCAACTACTGCTGTGTCACATTTTAAGATATAAAGTAGCCATTACACACATAAAATACTGAATAATTGTAACTGAAATCGGATTGGAACTTCTTCACCAAACTATTTCTTGTTCATTTTGTATCCTCATTGTTACTAACTGTTGAAAAACACACAAAATCTGCTGTGGGCTACAGGTTTGTGGTGCTGTGTTCTGCATCTTCCAGCTGGTGCGCTCGGAGACACCAACACAGTCACCAAGGATGTACAGCTTTGAGGTTGTCGCTGTACCTTCAGAATGGTGTCTGCTGTGGCTGGCCTTGGCCTTAACGTGCTGAGCCTCGAGCTGATCAATCAGAACCTGGTTCTCCTGCAATACCAGAAGGGCCTGTTGTTGTAGCTGATGACTGAAGGGGGAAAGGAGGGGGAGAAAAATATTATGTCTACAGCACAAAGCTGCTATAATATGGCCCCATGAATAATCACAAGCTTGCCTTAATGGTACTGAACAGATTGTACCTTTTTGGAAATATAATCACTTTTATTTTAAAAGCCAAAATCTAAATGTACATGTGACGTCTAAAATCAACACTGGCTATCACAAGTTAAGTGAACGTTTTTGTGGAAAAACCACAAAATGAACAAATGAATATTCCAAGCAGAGTATTGTCTTAAAACATTCGTGGAGGATTTTTAGTCTTTCAAGGACAAGATCTTAGATAACTTTTGTAATTCTAATATAAAGTACAGTATCTCTTTCTAAGCACGAGTAATATTAATAATAACTTTTAGCACTTTTTTAATCTTTAGCGCTTTTCTAGAACTCAAAGTCGCTTTACACTAAGGAGCGGTGGTGAAACAAACAACAGACAACGTGACTCACACATTAACAGAAGGTCGTGGAGAAGAGATGGGTCTTGATGCGGCATTGGAAAATGTTCTTTTTATAATTGCATTATGTACACAGTTGACTTTCATCTTCTATGTGTTGTTGCTACACAGATATGTGTAGGCTATATTTTGAAGGAAACAAACCTAACTGTTTGTTTATTCATAATTAGATGGATAATTTGTGTGGTGTTACATTGTGCTTTGGAGTACAATCAATGTTCTCTGAGGGAAATCAGGGATTTTTATGGACACTGATGAACTGTAAATGGCTCTTAACACTTAGTCTCACATGGTAAGACAGCACAATAGGAAACATCATGTACTGTACTCTAGTCTACAGTAAGAAAAGTATTTAAACACACACACAACCAATGTCCTAATGAATCTTCACATTGTTCTTGAGTTGATACACAACTTAAAACAGGTTCAAATGTCTCTATCTGACCATATCTGACATGTCAGAGCTACTTACAATGAAAAGATACGAGTCAGCATTCAGCAACATTACAAGCCAGAGTGATGATAAAAGACAGAGTAGTGATGGGGGAAGATATAGGAGTGCAGCAGAAAAGATAACTGTTTTACTACTTCTATTTCATCCTTTTACACAATAGAAGCTTTACGTATAGACCCAGAGATGGGCAAGCAGTGGTGCAGAAGAGAATAAAGGAGGTATTTCATTTTCACTACATCAGGGGAATGAATGGCGACGGCCGAGCAAGTGCTGATGGTGTCGAACCAATACACATGCACAGAGAGAACATTTCTTCTTACCAGTTCTTCTGGCTGACCCCTTCGATCTTTGTGACGTCATCATGGAGTCTCTCGTTTTCTTTGATTACAGCCTCTACATGAACACGCAACCTCTTCACCTCCTCCTGTGGAAAGCAGACAAAGACACATATGGATCGCTGATTTGAAGGACAGCAAAACAAAAACAAAAAAAGAAATCCTCTACTGTGCTACCAGCTAAGGATCAAGGGTCGTCCTTCCAAGACAAAAGCCTTGATAGCGACCACAGCTGGGTGCACCAGTTTTCCAGGGGCCTGTGTCATGAAGCGGGATAAGTGGGTTAGCCAGCTAACTTTTAGAATAGATTAGATTAGAAAACTTCATTAATCCCCAGCGGGGAAACTCATTTGCCACCAAATCAACAATAGACATAGTTTCCACAGTAAATAACAGACAAAACACACATTACGACAAATAAATAACATCATAAAATGCCATTTGAGACATGAAGAACATCAGAAAGATGCTAAATCTAAAAACCACATCTAAACGTCTGACTGCTGCTGGAACAAAAGACCTTCTGAGTCGTTCAGTGGATCACTGAGGCTCCGGAGCAGGTCAACTCCAGAGGAGCTCACTGGAAAAATTCAGTCATCATTCAACAGGATCGTAATTAATTGTTGATTAATAATTGATTATTGAAAAATAAAACCTATACCCTCTGCTTCACTGGTTATAAATGTGACATCTCAGTCAGATAAATCTGAGTGTTGCATGTTGCAGCGCATTAACAGTCTGCTGCCTCTGTCTCCGATAACACGTAACATTCTACTAAATGATGAGATGACAGATGATAATAGCGGATAATAATAACAAACACACATACAGTTTCTCTCACATACACTTTACCTCAGTGGTTTGCAGAAGTGCGTCTTTCTCGTTCATCCTGTCTTCATAGGCCAGCACCAAAGGAGATAAATACTTCATGTCAAGCTAAACAAAAAAATTTAAAAAAATGACAACGAGAAATTAGCCAAATTAGCCACAACATCAAAACCATGGATCCATTCAGATATGGGGCTTATTGAAGGAAGGAAAATCATTTTCCAGCCCACTAGTCACAGTGGTTGGTAAATCTGAGCCACTGTGGACACATAGTGAACAACCTGGCTTTGTGTTTTGGTCATTTGAGAGGTGAAGCAGGTTTCAGTGAAGCTGAGCTTCCAAACTATCAGACCCGTTATGTGTCACCAGACTGAGCATGTATGATTACACATGTTAAATCCAAATCAATCTGCTGAACAAGTTATCATTCAGCTTTTCTTTTTCTTTTTCTTTTTAAACGACTTGCCTATTAAACTAGCCAGCCATCTTAAACAGATTGATTAGCTAATTTTGACTACTAACCAGCCATGCGGTTAGAATCCTGCCCTGCCGTATGAAAGTAATGTACAGCTATATAAAGATACTGACCAGCCAGGGAGGAGGAGACCCTGTCTTTGGTAAGCCGCTGATTCTTGAGCTCTGGATGAAACACAGTAAGAAAGTTAGTCATCATACGTAGCAGCCATGCTTGATATGGCAGCTTTAAATGTCGTCCTTCACACAAAGTAAACATATTTTTAAAAAATGGTGATAGAGGATTGAAGTCTGCTGCTTCTAGTGGACTGGTGCTGAGTGACTGAGGGAATTTCACAGGGAAGCTAATCCAACATGTTCTACAGCAAAGAATATTATAGTTTATAACTACAGAACAAATGGGAAATCAAAAGTAAATGGTCGTGTTAATGGGATCTATGGAAGTGGACAACGTTTAATTCTAGCTTGGCCAATTTAACAAATTCAGATTCATCCTATCTCTTATTATCATTCTGCTATAAAACTACTTCCTCATCTCTTCCTTTATCTCTTCCTTTCACCAGCAGTCAGGAATTAGAACTAGCAGAGACATCCAGCAACAGCAGAAGCAAACTGATGGCAGAGATCTCTTGGTGTGAAGACACAGCATGAGGTAGTCATGATTAAAGCCACAGGCCAGCCTTCTTCTGCCGTATAAAAAACACAGAATATACCAGAATGGACACACAGCCACAGATGGGAACAAGCAACTCCTTTAGTGCAACAAATCTGATAGAAGGACAGACAAAAATAAGCCTTATTTAGCTCAGCGGGATTCAAATCAAAGGCAGATTTCTATCTTGAAGGCTTGCTTTGAAAACAAAATACTGGTCATAGATTTGGTATAAAAGCTGCTGTTGTCGGTGAAGAGAGCAGAGGACTACACTAGAACAGATACTCCTGTTTTCATGTAATTCTGGCAGTATGAGCTGGAGTGATAGAGGCTGGTTGATAACAGAAAGGGCCCTGGTGTAATTAGGGACTGTTCTACAGGGAAGCTTTTTAAGGCTGCCTACATTAGCCTTCTACCAGGAGTCTCTTATGCAAGTCATGAGCCCATAACTGTTTCACAGGGCCTACAATCAGGTTACAGAAGGTCTCATTCACAAATAGTCAATTTGTGAAAATGAGATGAGGTACGACTCAAAAAGCAGAGGTGTTACCTCGTAGCTAGACATACTTCCTGTTTGGTCAACGGTCTGAAGAGGGTTTGGTAGCGGCTCAGCTCCACATTCAGACGGTGAACTGTCAATTTGAGGGCGTCATTTTCATCCACCAGCTCCTGAGCCTGTTGCCTCAGATTCAGTAGCTCTGCCTGGCTGCCTGTGAGCACAGCAGATCCGGTTATACATAGTTCTGAGACATGCTCGCAAACAAGAAAAGTCGAGTCCTTAGTGGCCTAACTATATATACAATAACCATATTCATTATTATAGTTTCAGGAAGAAGGGAACCGAGAGGGCTGGTGCAATCTAAACTAAAGACGACTATGGTGTATTTTGCAAGATGGCTTTGGTCTTTCTTCAACATGGCTTTGACTCTCCATGTGGTCTGCTGACTGACCCTGAACCCTTCACCCTCGGGTGATGATAAATAGAACATAATGAATGCTTCACTAGCAGAGAATGAATAGTACTTTTCCATGCTGCATCTTTCTGCCCACCGGGAGGTCGGAGTCTCTAATCACCGAGCCAACCTGCTACCCATTTTAAACTGCCAATTTTCCATCCTTTGTTAAACTCTTTGTGTGTTTTTTCCTTTCCGTGTTTCATTACACCTTATCTACTCACAGCCCTATCTCCAGCTCCCTCCTCCCTGCTATGACTGCCTGCTTCACTCCCTCTCCCTTCATCCCCCCCCCGTTAACCCTTATTCTACTTTATTGATTCTCTGTCTCCCATACGTGATTCTCCAGCGGCTCGTCCACTCTACCTGCAGATGACCTCGGGTTAGAGGCGGCTTGGCTGTGACTGATCTCCTGCTCCAGCCGTTGCAGTCTCTCCTCCAGTAGCTTTTGTTCATCCACCATCCTTGTGTCCTTCACTGGCAAGGCCCCTGCTACCTCCCTCTGCACCTCATCGCATGCCCTGCTGAGCTTTGGAGACGGCTGGGTGGGGGGTTTCAGGTCTTTGGCTTGGCTGGGTTGGTCGGTGGTTAGGATGGGTAGCTCGGCTGTAATCGGGAGGGTCAATACTTTAGCTGGCAGTACACAAACATATACTCAATGGAATAAAATGTGAAAAATCTGCTGTATTGCAAACACACGTCATCTCAATACACAATACTTATGGGAATATGCAAGTATCTCACACATCAACAAAGAAATGTGTGTATGAAGCAGAAAACTGTTTTATATTAAAGTAATCTGACAGTCACTTAAGTGACTAAAGTTATATTTAACTGGATAAAATGCATCATAAACATTAGTAAGAACCTAACCAACAGAGGGCATATTCCCATCAGACAGCACTGGTCTGTCGGGACATGAAAGACTACAAAAAGGGAAACATGTTTATTTTTGCCTGATCTAAAGCAAGCCATGTTTTTTCTGTGCTATAAATCAAAAGCTGGGTAAAATAAATAATAAGTCAAAATGACAAGAAGACACACAGCAGGCTTCTTTGGGACTTGCACTCACACGGCACACCTCCCCGACTTCCAGCGCTCTTCCTGACAGAGGCTTTCTTCTTGGTAGAATCACTGCTGACTCCGGGACAAAGGACACTGGTTTCCTCCGAAAGATCTGAGAGATAAGAAAAGAATCAGAAACAATACAAAAAGGCAGTGCCAATAGGATGAGTGCTGGATCAAAGAAATACGTCGTAGATAAGAAAAATAAAGCCATCATTAAATGCATGCAATCGCAGAAGAAGTGATGGTTCCTGTGTGCTTAACTACACAACCCAATTTAACCATGAAATGCATATTGTTCTTTAAACGTGACTTTCTGCATAGCTTGAATGTGATACTTTAGAACACAGCCAGCCTGAGTGTAGCGTACACAATTTAGTTGTTAAAAGTAGAAGCATTTTAGGGACACATAAAACATTTTCATTTAGCACCGTGAAAAGCCTGAGGCCAGCTTTGGTAACAACAACTGTATAATGAGGCTGTCCATTCAGCTTTTAATGATGTAAGGTACATTATGTCTGCTGCGAAGCTACATTTTGGTTGAGTTAGAGTTGCATCTTTGTCGTCCTCTAAAGCCTGAGGAGGAGTCATATGAAGAAAGTTACCATTCTTTTCTTTTTCGTTCTATGGGAGAAAATTCTGAAATCCAGTTGCACATCTCTTTATATATCATCCGTTACATTTATTTTGCTGCATGCTGTTTGAATGATTTTCATGGTTAATTTTTCTGCTTTATTAGAGTACATCCGGTCTGTTAGCAATTTATGATTAGAAGCATTCCACCTACTCTGTATACTACCGGAGGCTGCTGATAGATATTTCCGTCTACTTACTGACACCCACCACCATATTGTCTGTTGAAGGTATTCATCTTTACCACCATCTTTTCACATCAGTGGTTACAACCAGCAGGAGTACCACCTTTTATGCTTTTAATGTGAACGTCATGTGGAAACTGAGTGGACCCTAAAGATCTAGAAAAGTCCTACCCAGTCAGAGGCCGAATGTTTGCTAGTGACTACTTCCTACAATCTCTGGATCTACAAACAAACAACAGAAATAGAATCTTAAAGTCTGACCAGTAAATACGCCAACATCAGTTTGTCAAATGTATAAAGAAAATCTTGAGTAATTTGTTATCTCTTCCAAGAAAACTCATTGGAAATCTACAGTATGTAGATATTGACATCTGAAGTTGTTTTATTGGGCTGTAAGGTTAAGGCTAGGGTAAATGTACAATGGGTTGCCTCATTAAACTATACACAGCATTTGGTCTTATTATAGGTCGGGTTATATTGCCACTTACTGACAGATTATGAGTAATTACCTGGAGAAGGCGCTCTTCTGCTAGACATCTGAATGAGCTGGTGTGTACAGGTCTGAAAGACAGGCAGTCAGAGACAGATAATGAGTAAGTCTTCTCAAAGAGATTTCCAAAGCCCTGCTGCCCGGATCCCTTTTGTGCAGAAACCACTATGGCCATCATGTCCATTGTAAAAATGTGGAGAAAAATATATATATATTGTTAGTGCGTTTACAGTATTGTTGCGAATCCCCAGAGACACATTGAGGCCATGTGACTGAGCAAGAAGGAAGCAAAGAAAGAATGAAATACAAGAATGAGGCGGACTGAACAATGTCATCTGCTGATTCAAGGCAGAATGCTCAAATGACAAGAAAATAAACGATATTCATAGACACTGACTTGGCTGTTTATTAAGTACATCTGATGCAGTTCAATACAACAGTCTTGCTATATTACAGCTACCTTCATAAAAGTTATTCAGAGAGGTGCAGATTCAACTGCATGGTCACATTGGAGGCTGCAGTCTGTGCTGCTGTTGAACTGCATGCTTTAAACAGAGATGTGTTTCTGTTATTCTGTTAGCCTCGTTGATATAAATGGGGTGGACAAAATAATAGAAACGGCTGTTCATTTGGGTGCTTACCTTAGAAACATCACATCCTCTGTGCTTAAAATGTTTTCAGCTTACTCTAACTGGTGAATAAAGCAGCAGGCAGCTAGACTCTGATAGCCTGAACAGGCAAACAACAGGGGGAAACAGAGCCCAGTGGGACCACTATAGGTTAGCAACCCAATGTAGCGGTATACAGGGCAATATCATGAATCGAATAGAAACATGTGTTGTGAGATCAGACTCTTGGGAAGAAATCTCACAGGTAAAAATGATAGATACAGACCATGGAGTTGGGTTAACTATGTAAAGGGGGACATTTCAGGTGCATGGCTCGGTACCCACTTCTGACAACAATACCCTGTTGTCAGAGACTACCATCCATCCATCCATTTTCCTCCGCTTATCCGGGGTCGGGTCGCGGTGGCAACAGGCCAAGCAGGCTGACCCAGACTTCCCTCTCACCGGCAACATGTTCCAGCTCATTCTGGGGGATCCCGAGGCGTTCCCAGGCCAGCTGGGAGATGTAATCCCTCCAGCGTGTTCTGGGTCTTCCCCGGGGTCTCTTCCCAGTTGGACGTGCCTGGAAAACCTCCAGTGGGAGGCGTCCAGGAGGCATCCTAATTAGATGCCCGAACCACCTCAGCTGACTCCTTTCGACGCGAAGGAGTAGCGGCTCGACTCCAAGCTCCCTCCTGATGACCGAGCTCCTTACCCTATCTCTAAGGCTGAGCCCGGCCACCCTACGGAGGAAGCTCATTTCGGCCGCTTGTAACCACGACCTTGTCCTTTCGGTCACGACCCAGAGTTCGTGACCATAGGTGAGGGTAGGAACGTAGACCGAGTGGTAAATTGAGAGCTTTGCCTTCCGGCTCAGCTCCCTCTTCACCAAGACGGTCCGGTGCAGCACCTGCTTTACTGCTGCAGCCGCACCGATCCGTCTGTCGATCTCCCGCTCCATCTTACCCTCACTCGTGAACAAGACCCCAAGATACTTGAACTCCTTCGCTTGAGGTAGGCACTCTGTCCCCACCTGGAGGGAGCAATCCACCGGTTTCCGGCAGAGCACCATGGCCTCAGATTTGGAGGTGCTAACTCTCATCCCCGCCGCTTCACACTCGGCTGCAAACCGCCCCAGTGAATGCTGGAGGTCACGATCCGAGGAGGCTAACAGGACCACATCATCTGCAAACAGCAGAGAGGCGATCCCGAGACCCCCGAACCTGACGTTCTCCACCCCCAGGCTGCGCCTAGATATCCTGTCCATGAAAGTCACGAACAGGACCGGAGACAAAGGGCAGCCCTGGCGGAGGCCAACACCCACCGGGAACGTGTTTGACTTATTGCCGAGAATGCGGACACAGCTCCTACTGCAGTCGTACAGAGACCAGATCGCCCATTGTAATGGGTCCGGCACCCCATACTCCCGCAGCACCCCCCACAAGAAACCCCGAGGGACCCGGTCGAAAGCCTTCTCCAAGTCCACAAAGCACATGTAGACTGGTTGGGCAAACTCCCAGAACCCCTCCAGTAGTCTTGCGAGGGTAAAGAGCTGGTCCACTGTTCCACGGCCGGGACGGAATCCGCATTGCTCCTCTTGTATCTGAGGTTCGACAAACGGTCGGAGCCTCCTTTCCAGCACCCTGGCATAAGCCTTCCCCGGGAGGCTGAGTAGTGTGATACCCCGGTAATTCGAGCACACTCTCCGGTCCCCCTTTTTGAAAATGGGAACCACCACCCCGGTCTGCCAGTCCATGGGCACTGATCCCGACCCCCATGCGACATTGAAGAGGCGTGTCAGCCAGGAAAGCCCAACTATGTCCAGCGCTTTCAGCATCTCAGGGCGGATCTCATCCACCCCCGGCGCCTTGCCACCAAGGAACTTTTTGACTACCTCAGCGGCCTCTGCCAGGGATATGGGTGAGCCTCCCCCTAGATCTTCAGGCGCTGCCTCCTCTGCAGAGGACATGTTGGTCGGGTTTAGGAGTTCCTCAAAGTGCTCTTTCCACCGCCCGACGATGTCCCCTGTCCGGGTCAGCAGTCCCCCCCCCCCCCTGCTGAGAACAGCCTGGGGTAAGCCCTGCTTTCCCTTCCTGAGCCGTCGGATGGTTTGCCAGAACCTCCTTGAGGCCAACCGAAAGTCCTTCTCCATGGCCTCCCCGAACTCCTCCCATGCCCGAGTTTTAGCATTCGCGACCACCGCAGCTGCAGCCCTTCTGGCCTGCCGGTACCTGTCAGCTGCTTCGGGAGACCCCTGGGCCAACCAGGCCTTGAAGGTCTTCTTCTTCAGCTTGACGGCTTCCCTCACCTCCGGTGTCCACCACCGGGTTCTCGGGTTGCCGCCACGACAGGCACCGATGACCTTCCGGCCACAGCTCCTAGCGGCCGCATCCACAATAGAGGCTTTGAACATGGTCCATTCGGATTCCATGTCCCCAACCTACCTCGGGATGTGAGAGTTCTTCCGGAGGTGAGAGTTAAAGACCTCCCGGACAGGGTCCTCCGCCAGACATTCCCAGTTCACCCTCACTACACGTTTGGGCTTGCCAGGTCTTTCCAACCGGTTCCCCTGCCATCTGATCCAACTCACCACCAGGTGGTGATCAGTTGACAGCTCTGCTCCTCTCTTCACCCGAGTGTCCAAGACATACGGCCGCAAATCAAATGATACGATTACAAAGTCGATCATTGATCTCCGGCCTAAGGTGTTCTGGTACCAGGTACACTTATGAGCCACCTTATGTTCGAACATGGTGTTCGTTATGGCCAAACCGTGGCAAGCACAGAAGTCCAATAACGAGACACCATTCGGGTTCAGATCGGGCAAGCCGTTCCACCCAATCACCCCCCGCCAGGTTTCTCCATCATTGCCCACGTGAGCATTGAAGTCCCCCAGGAGAACTATGGAGTCGGTAGGTGGTGCCCTTTCCAGGACCCCTCCCACCGACTCCAAGAAGGCCGGATACTCTGAACTGCTGTTTGGTGCGTAAGCACAAACCAGTCAGAGCCTTGCTCCCCGCAACCCGTAGGCGCATGGAGGCGACCCTCTCGTTCTCCGGGGAGAACTCCAACACAGTGGCGCTCAGCCGGGGGCTCGTGATAATCCCCACTCCCGCCCGGCGCCTCTCACCCTGGGCAACTCCGGAAAAGGACAAAGTCCAACCTCTCTCCAGGAGGTAGTCAGAGACTACCATAAATCACAATTATAAAGTCAATATTAAACGCAAGTTGCTCCTGAACTCTCAGAGGCAAACGATGCAGAGTGATGTTATGTCGCAAATAAATAAAAACACCTGCCAAAGGTAGTCAAACTGCAATGGCACTGCAAAAAGAGCTTTACAAAGGAACAATGGCAATAAGTAGTGATTCAGGGACACTGAAAGGATATCTCAACACTCTCCGCAAGTCCTAAAAATGATTACTGAGCAGACTCAAAACCTGTGACAGTAAACTTTACAAATCTTCTCTACAGTTTGAGGCTTAATAGATTACATTACCTTTATTCTGTGTGAAACTGTGCCTCCCAGTGGATCAGACTGGTGTCACAACAAACAAACTGAACCAAGTATAAAAGTATTTGAGAAAGGATAATTATCTTCCCTCAACGCAAAATTTCAGAAGCAGATATTCTGACTTGTCATAGCAGGAAAGACGCAGGTGAAACTGATAACACTAACGATGAAAATATTTAGTTTGTCCCAAAACATAGTATGCCAGAAATGCCAGGATGTCCTCCTGCATCCGGTCGCATTTTGCAGTTTGCAAGCCAGCATGCTTCTCTGGCCATTCTGACCCACAATCCTCTGCGCTTTGGATGTATGAGCAAGAGGGTCAAAGTTCAAGGTGCAATGTTATGAGGAAGTAGTATGTTCCAATTAAATGCATACCCATTAATTATGGTCCCAGACCTAGCAACACTCTAGTCAGAAACTCGCTTACACATAACAATGAGATCGTACTTTAGAGTCTCACCTTCGGTTTTAGTGGCAGAGAATAGATAGGTTCTGTGATCACACAATTCTCCTTTCTGTCAAGAGTTTGGTAAACATGTTCCTCCCTGTCCTCCTCACTCTCCACCTCCTCTTCCTTGTCTTCCAACTCCTCCTCTGAGTGGTCAGGGGAGGACAGGCACGGTCGGCTGCCCAAATCGTCTGACCATCTGTCTCTGAGGAAGGTAATAAAGTAATATCACTATCACTATAAACAAAACAGCTAAATAGAATTCAGCTGTCATTCATTCTATTACTTATACCTATGCTTATTCTTCTGTGGTGTGAAAAAAATGCCTTTTATGAGAAGCCTACTTTGAAAATTGCACCCAAAAAAAGAAAGAATTAGAACAGCATTTGAAGTCACACTACCAGCATAGATGGCTTTTTCAGATAGACATTAACTACCTGTATTCTAAATTTTTCTTTCATTTGTAAAGGTCACATCTCAAATTTTACAGACATCTCTTTTCCTCTATTTCTCTCAAATGTCCTATTTGAGGAAGCTCAAATAATACATTTACTACTCTTCCTTAAAGTAGGCACAATCGTGTACTACTTTGGCCCATTTTCTACTGTGACACACTTGATAGATACAGCCCCAGGTTAGGTTTAAACTTAGAGAGTCACCTCTTGTAATTAGAATAATTTGTCACAATGCGTGTGATACTACTGATGTATTTGCCAGAGGGAGTTTACCTGATGAAAAGGTCTGTGCTGATGTTTGGTTCAGATATGAAGGACTCTGATTGGCCACTCTCAGAGAAAGACCTTGGCCGGATGGGGGGGAGGGCCCATGTCTGTCCAGTGAGCGATGAAGACCAGATGGCTGCTGCTAAGGCTGATCTGTAGATGGAAATAGGTAATTCATATGAGGAGGGACAGATACTTCGTAATACAAGCACAAGAAATGCTGCTAATCACATCAAAATGTCATGTCATACTTTATTATTTCTAATGTTGATATTGATGTGATACATTGTTAGGTAAATGTATGATGAAGCTTAGTGATCAATGCATTGATGATGGTAACAGTCTTCTGAATTGCGGTGACAATAACAGTGGAGACCAGAATGCAACTCTTCTACAACATGTCAATAATAAGTAAATGTTTGAGGACAACATAGGCTGGTGATACATGCGAGTACATTTTTGAGAATCAAGATCTACAAAGATGCATCATAGAGTTAAGTTAATAAATTAGGAGTTGCATTTATTGTTCCAGAGTTTATTGTTCCAGAGTTTCATCTCAAAGTACGGAAGAGGATCTGTGATGAATCACTGGCTAGTTTACAGAACAGTCATAAGAAGAAGAAGAAGGAAAACACAGCGAAATGAAAGGATGCTGGAGGTGATGGAGGTTGTTAGGTACCTGGGTCTCTCGGGTGAGGGGTTTGGGCTGCGTGGGGGCGGGGTACGAGGCACAGCAGGCTTGGGAGCAATGGAGGCAGCAGGGATCAAACCATGAGCTATATGCTTCTACACAACGCGCACAAAGGAGGGTTAGAGAGAGGATTAGCGTCACACAGACGGACATTAACACACACAATGTGGGACAATGGTTGAGGAGAGTTTCATTTAGTAACATTAAATCATTGTTTCACATCCACACTGACGAAAAACAAAGATGCTAACGTCACAAAGGTGGAAGGGTAGAAAGGATGATTACAGTATCACAACATGACCACTTGATAAAGGAGATACCAAACACTGAAGTATTCAAACAGCCTGTTACAGTGGCCACAATGTGTCCAGTATTCAGCGGTCAATTATACTTTAACTGCCTTTTTAAATAATAGCAGAGAGGATAAATCCCTCATTTCACTCGCTGTTTTAATGTTGGTCAACAATATGAATACAATTACACCAATTGACGTATTAACGTTACGAAACAGGTATTATCAAACGCTAGCTTAAACATTTCTGAAATATCTAACGTTAGCCTAACTTCTGCTAACGTTAAATAGACAAAGCCTTTGGTCACAAAAGTATCTAACAGCTAATTAAACGCTAGGTTAGTGTTAGCTAAATTACCCCAAAAATGCATTTCAACTAGACATTTAGCTAGCTAGAAATGAAACAAGGTCAATTTATTTAATAAAAGACGCTACTTACAAACTCGTTGTCTCTCTCCCTCCTGAAGTTGAATTTTAACATCGTGGAAATACGTGCTGGACACTTGCTTCAATAACGTTAGCTAAAGTTAGGTTTCAGTTTAAGCAAACAGCTTGACTTGTTTAGTCTTAACAGCATAAGAAACGGTTTCATGCCACTGCCATTGTGTTTCAAATTATCTGTCCTCTTTTACCCTAAAACGATAAAGAAAAGTAAGCAAGCTAACAGTGTTCAACAGGCTGGATGTTTGCAGAAGATTTCTCGTATCTAGACGCTTCACCACAAGACGGCACCGTTCTACAAAAGTAGTGCTGATTGGTTAACAGTGAGGAGAGCAGCCAATCAGCGACTAGTATGATTCACCTAGCAACGACGTCCTTACCGACAAGCGGCCAGGCCGACAGGGGGCGATGTCGTTCCCTTTAATAATCAACTGTCGCCTCCTGTCTCTAAACATTATGGTTGCTGTAAAATTATTTCTTTATTCTTTCTTTCTTTATAAAGCAACAAAATAAGTTATGAACACAATATACAGCAAACTTTAAATTGAATGCGTCGACTAAAAGAACATTTAAGTAATACCTTTTTATAGTATACTTCACATGACAGCCACTCAAGTTCGTCTTCCATCCAGTCCACTTTGTCAGTTCAATATAGCTCCAAAACTGTGGTGATACACAATGATTATGGGCACTACCTTGCAAACTTCAAACAAATATTCCCATATTTATTACGACTGGAAAACCTTAATTCTATCAATCAAACATGAACAGATCTCCATCTAGTTTCTACACCCACCTGCACTGTGCAGGGTGATTGCAATAATATACTTCTTTTAAACATGTATTTTCAGTCCTCTTTTGAAAATAAATCAGCTGAAAATTAGTTTTATCAAGTGCTGACCTTTGCCCCCAAGAATGGTGGAAGTGAAAATCCTATAACCAAAAGTCAACAGATGTGATTCCTGCAATATACGTTTTTCCTGTTAAAACAAATCTAAATACAGGAGAGAGTTTGACCTTAGGGAAACTCATTTTCAAAGTTCAAAGTTATGAGAATAAACAATCAGTGCTTTCTTTTCTGCCCAATGCACTAACACACACGGATAAGTGCCAAGCTAATGCCCAAAGACCATGAATGGTATGGGTGAATACAGACCTGACAGGTAAACTTTACACCAAAAAAAAAAAAAAAAAAAAAAAAAAAAAAAAAAAAAAAAAAAAAAAATATATCACATGGTGTTTTTCTTGTGTTTCCATGAAGGCAGATTAGGATGACATGTGACCCCAGGCCAGACTCCCATCGGTCACAAACCCATGAGTGTTGACTTAGTGTATGTTGGCTCACTGAGGGCTGTGTTCAAACTTCATTTTGCTACCAAGCAGTCATTCCCAAACTGCTTGGTAGCTTCAATCACTGAGATACACAGAACCACAAATATATGTACGTATATATTTTTAAAAAAAAGAAGAAAAAAAATCCAGGAAAATCTGTTTTATCCCCTTCTTTTATTGAGATTTGAGTTTATACATACGACACAAAGACTTACAGACAAGGCATTCACACCACAGTTGTGAATGCAGTACAAAGTTCAGGGAGCGAAGCGAAGACAACCTGAAACCTTCAGAAGAACAGGTACCATCACCCTCTGCATAGACCAAGGCGTTTAGGATCCCTATGCATGTAAAATCCCCTGTAAGCACTTCTATCAATTAATTACTGCACTTTCTTGTTACAGACTTATTGTGACATTTTCCTTCATGAGTATGAGCATAAATGGCACTTAAGACACCACATTAGGTAAATAGAGACAGTTAAGAGTTCTACATCTTCTCAGTGTTACAGTTTAAAAACATTTACATTTTAAAATAGCTTTCCATTGACAAAATGTACCAGTATATATAGTTCAAAGGATTAAGCAAGGCTAGTAAAATACATTCCTCCAAGAAACCAACCAAGAAATCCAACGTGCAAAAATTCACAACTTGACCATTCACAAACTAATTCTGAAACCTACAAATACAGGCATATATATACATATAAAATATTTTTTGTGTGTATTTTTGTATTACATAAATAATTTGATTATCAAATGTGTATAAGAATCTACTTTGTAGATAAAGAGATAGTCCAACACTGCAAAGTGTCAGTAAAATGTGGGATATGACAGGTAGACGCAAATAGCAGAAACCTGAATGTGGGCTTTGATCAAAGTCGCTGTTGGGTGACCGGCTTTCAAAGTACGATGCAGGAATGTCATCGGCCTGCCCACATTCTTCCCTTCTGGAGACAAATTAACCTTTTAACTACATCAAGATTCACATTAACATAGAGACACGCAGCTCACGCTTTCTTACAAATGGACAAAGTGCCAGACGGCAGCAGCACTGATCAAAGAGGGCCAGAACTGGGTAAGAGGAGTCAGGAGTGGCAAATGGCACATCCTGGCACATCGCGGATGTGGAGGCATTTTGGTCTGTGGCATAACTGGCACATTAAGCAAACTTAAGATACCAATGATTCCATTTACATTGCGTCCCAGGCATGGCACTCAGCAGAAACAATATTCCTCAAAGGCTGTCTCGAAAATGCAAAACTGACAATAATACAAGGTATGCATGCGATTTTGTTTCTTCAGCAGCTTATAAGAACTTTCATTCATCAACTCTCCCCAGACAAAAACAACTGCACAGCACAATTTGTTTTTCCCCTCAGTCACCGTTTTAACATTTCAAGGTTCAAATATCTACATATCTATTTAGAAAATGTAAGTATTTCAAACCCCAAAACCGATCAGTATCCACTGATTTCAACAAATATCGTGGCAATGACCTAATCCTACACATATACCGTATGAAACACGACCTGTATTGACGATGCACAGAGAATAGAAATTGACCCCCTTGCCGCCAAGTTGAAACCGACGCTGGGTGTGTTTGTACAACTTTGTTTTTGAGTCCCTCAATTCGTCCGGAGCGTTTCCCATGTACCAACAATGGCACCTATAGAGAGTATTTGGCACAGCCAATTTCCAAGGTAGCTGGCAGAAATGTCATCATTACACTGGTGACATACAAGCTACATAGACTACTGCTCAGTATTCCAGTGGAAACACCAAAGGGAACTGGTAGCGTATCATAGCAGCTACAGTATGGGTACAACACAGCACTATATATAGCCATACTTGGCCTAATACGCATACTGCGCGATGCTTGCAGACGGTAGAAAGTCTGCAGCCAGCTCAGTAGAGGGCACTGTCGTTGTTGTAGGAGCTGGAGCTGGGGAACGTGGGACAAGGCTTATTCCAGGGAAGGGAACCGGAGTGTTCAGCTGACGTGGGAAGGCTGAGGGTGCTGGCGCTCTTAAGCCGGTTCTTCAGACCAAAGTTGAGGAAGGATGACTTCTTGGATACTTTGCGGGACTTCTTGTCGTCATCATCATAGGCCAGACAAATCATGGAGTAGGTCTTAGGCAGGTTTCCGCAGAAGGTGGCACTCTTGGTTGGCTGGACAGAGACATTGACAGTGAAATAATGAGTCATTTTTGTGTTCAATCAAAGAGTTGCTCAGGACCTAAATACCCAGAATCACAAACGGTCACTTTCTAACAACAATGGGATGGCCTTTTGACAGACACTGCTTTTTCTTTTCACCCTATGCATGTCTAGAGTAAATTATTTATGCTCTTTATCCTGATAATTAGGCTACTGGCTCATGAACTATTTCCTACACAATCCAAATATATGTTTTATGCACTACATCATATCCAAAGATTTTCTCATGTGAAATTTTACAGGCAATTTACCTTGACCAGAAACACTAAGGAGAAATCAGAAACTAACTGTGCTGTTTTGTCAGCTGATACAAAGACCAATTTTGCTGTCCAGTCGACAGGAGAGAAAAAGGGCATGGCATACCATCTGAGGGTTGCTGTCCATTATGCTGACCACCTGGATGTACATCCCCGCCTCGTTCACATCCTTCAGCAGCCGCATCACATCGCTCACGCTCATCCATTTGCAATCTGTGTCGCCCACAGCAACAATGTAGTCCCCCTCTTTTAGACCGTCAGCCTGGAAACATATGAAGAAGAGCAGGAGTCAGAGAGGGAGAACAGGAGTCAGAGAGGGAGAACAGGAGTCAGAGAGGGAGAACAGGAGTCAGAGAGGGAGAACAGGAGTCAGAGAGGGAGAGCAGGAGTCAGAGAGGGAGAGCAGGAGTCAGAGAGAAGGGCCAGTGAAATTTCCTAAAGCTGCAGCTGACAGTAAATATTAACAGGGTTTACTTGAATGGCAATCAAGTCAGGTTCACCTACTTTCCTTCAACACCCTGGAGGCAGCCGGGATGAGTAGAGAAAACACTGAGGTTTAGTTGCTAGCAAAGGTTTTTTTTACAGCAGGACAACCACTTGGTAGAGTGTGTGTGTGTACCAGAGCACAGTATTTCATAGCTGTGGGAAGTCTTATCTACATGAGCTCAGCTATTTCTGTCTGATAACTTGATCCGTGTTCACCAGAGGCAGATCCGGAGAATCAGTCAGTTCCAAAATAAATCCCAGTAAATGCAGTATTGAAAAGTTATAAAATGTGTGGTCTAGTTAGACTTATGCAATACTACTAATCTGATTCTCTGCATAGCCTGCAGGACCTGATAATACTCTGCTCTTTGTCAGCGCCTCTCAATGAGCTGTCGGACTGAAAAGGATTGCAGAGAGTAAATACTCTCTGAATCTTAATTAAATTAGTAGCCAGAGTGACTGTAGGGGTGGAGGGAGCGCCTCTAAACATTCTTTAAAGCTGAATCCTGGTTAGGTTTAGAGAATTACGTTATCTAATCCAAGGTTCTCTGAGCAAATAGGACTCTCGTATACAGGGACATTTGAACTTATTTGATATTCAGGGCGCAAGCATGAAATTTCAAGTGGTTAGTTCCCCCACCTCAAACAAAGTCACTCCCCGCTAGTTAATCCTGTTGCGGGGAGTAAATATTGAGCAACCACGGCTTTTGTTAAAATTCAACTTGGCAGCACTTCAGGTACTTACATGCCCCCTGAAATATCTTCTGTGCTTGAAAGAACATAGTTTGTGTGCAAGCCTATCTTTATCCCATACTGACGTTAATTGAAACCAAATGCTGGCTGCAAAACAGCAGATCGATCTTCCTGTGTTCATCCAAAAGGTGAGAAATAACTTACAGCAGCTGGGCAGAGGGGGTCCAACGAAACCACATGGACGGGTGATTCTCCTTTCAGGGTGAAGCCCAGGTCTTTGTCTTTTGGGAGAAGTTTTATTGTCCGTGGGGCTGTCCACCGCTGCCTGGCTGAGAAGACTGACAGAGGGCCCTGAATGGAGACAGTGTGGGGATGCTGGAGTTAATATGGTGAATAATAATAATAATAACTAAAATAATTATAATAATAATACATTATGATAGTATGTTTACTTTCTTTCTTTACTTTTTGAATAAATAAATGAACCTGTTGTACTGTTTTGTATCTGGTCATGACGTGTTTTTCCCTAATAGGCTGCACATACAGCAGCATTGTTTACTGCGGTTACCCTGGTTACTGCAGCAGCAAAAGGCATATACTCTACTATACTTTAGTACTATCGAAAATGTCAACCAGCCCTAGAAATAATAAACAGTTGTTTGTCACTGATGTCTAAACTAATGCAATGACAGACTATGATGGGCTAGTTAAACATCTTTAGACTGGGACAGTGACTCGGTATTTAACAGTTAACACAGGAAGCACAAAGCAAGTGGCTTTGACGTAGGATGACCCAAAAGTCATAGTTGAACATGTCTGATTGGATGATATGCGAACTCAGAAAACACGATCCTTCACATCGGGTCAATTCCGTAAAGCAGCCACTCTAAAGGAAACTGTGTAGGCCATTCACGCCACACAGGTGTTTCAGCCTTTGCCACCATTGTCTATATTCAAACGATCGATCTCTCTTACATCAGGCCAGTCACATTTCCTTTTGCAAAGGGCATGCAAACCTCACGGTGTTCTCTTCAACAAAGAGATGCATGTGAAAAAAATATTCTCAACACACTGAACATGTTACTTCCGTCTATTTAGCAGTATCTTCCATACTGTACAGTTATAGCTGCATGAGTAAACTATGGCTGTATCGATTCATTCTATTTAATAGATTAATTCTCGAGTATAAAAACGTTTAAATTATCCTAAATCACTAAAGCGTTTTTGTCTTGACATATATACATTAAATTATTAACCTCTATGCATCACTAGGGACATTTTCGGCTTTTAAATTTTTCGATCATCTTGGCTGAAGTTCAGCCTCAGCTCTTATAATATAATAAACTGTGTAGCTTAAATACAGACACTCAGATCCTTAAGGACAAAGATGTCCTCATTGAAACGTATTAAAACCATCATTTTTGATCCCACGGCCATTACAGCGTAAAATCATGCTTTCAATTTGGAGACCGGGTTTCAAAATAGTAGTTTTTACTTTTGTCCACCCGACTGAGCTATTTTCTCATATTTTCCCTGTTGGCCAAATACAATATATATTTTTCTGGTTTCTGCTGTATTATAGGTCACTGCAGTGTTTGATGCAATGCATCAAAAACAGTGTTATTGCTTATCATTGACATATCACAGACACATATTAATCCCCACTAGCATTCAATGTTTGTGTTGAATGCACCGTTTCATAAGAACAGTGGAATAATGTAGACAAACTGACATTTGAAGGGTTGAGAGTTTTTTCAGGCAGACATTTTTGTTCTCGAAGGAAAGGGATGCACAAGTGATAAATTAACTGTACTGTGAAAGCAATCATATTTATAAAATTACTTAAATAATTAATCATTTAAAACTGCCATCAGTTACTTTCCCATTGATTATTTCAACATTAGGTATAATTGAAGACAAACAAGTCCTACTGTTTGGTAGCTATCTCCTATTAATACACTTCTTATCTAATGGGAAAATCTCTCCTCCACAATAAATCCTATGTAACAGCAAGATGATGCCTCTCCGCCCTGCTCCCTTAATTATGTCGCCGTGGTGATTGGATGGAGAGATTGTGCTGGATTTAACTTTTCAATCTCATTTTCTCTGCGGCTCCAAAAGGATTTGAATCGTGTTGCCAAGACTGTTGTAAAATCCAACCTAGCTCTTCACTAGTTTGGATTTTACAACAGGAACCGCAGAGGTGCTTATTCACAGAGACTCCTTCTGTTGTCTGGGAACGTCAGCTCTGACCATTGACCTCCTTACCAATCATTTGCATACAAGGTTGTTTTCTTGTCTGGAAATTGAATTTTTTTTTGTAGTAATTGTAAACTGTGCTTAGTTTGGGGAAAAAAGAAAAAAAAAAGAAAAAAAAAAAGGACTCGCAGAAGATTGCAGTTATAGTGACAGAGGATGCCAGTGCCCCTCTCCCTTCCACCACCATGACAATAAAGCAAGGGTCCGAGCCCCTTTCTCCATGGTTAGTGTTAGTTGTGCATTTGTTGCTATGGATGAATGTCCAGGAGGCTTTGGAAACAAGATCAGACTTTGGATTGTCTGCTACTCAAATGTGCCAAAGCCTCCAGGAGACTCACCCTTGGTTGGTTCTATTCAGATATGACAAGAAACAAATACACTCTGGGTGCACTTCCAACGTCTAAAACACAAATCCAGAGTCATTTCATGTCACTTGATGAATAAACCGACCGTGATGTACAAGAAAAACAGCAATGTGAGTGGAAGAGTATTAGTAACCCACATACCAGCCTCTGGAAGAAGTCTGTGACTTTCACCTTTGTGGTTGCGGGAACCTCCATCTCTGCTTTGTGCTCTGTTTTAGCTACGGAAAAAAGGGAGGGAAAAACAGCTGTTATTCTACACTGTTTATTGTCACAACCCCATTTCAACTGGTGCCATGTTGAGAGAAGCGGACAGGGAGTTAGCAGTGTAAACATTACATCACCTGTACCTGAAAGAAATGTTACTTATCACAGCTGATTGCAGCAGGTGTGCTACAAAACACTGCAGCCTTTTTTTTTTTTTTTTTTAATACACCAACCATTTCCTGAGAGACGAACCTCACAAATGAACACATTGGTCCTGCTTGACATTGCCGTCATTTGTGGAGTGTTTGTTGTGGTGACACTGAGGTGACTGGTTAGTTTCTATGTCAACCACAGGAAGAATAGCTGTCACCTCAGAGACTCAAATAGACGCCACAATTGTTCCAATTCCTCTCATTTAAAAACATTTAAGACTCACAGACGATGTCTGGGGCCTCTGTGTAGTCAGTGAACTCCTCCTCGTCTTCACTTTCGCTGCACTTGTTGAGCGAGCGCTGGTGACTGGCTCTCAAAATGTCCTGCAGGACCTCCAGCTTGTTCAAGTGATGGCACAAACTATAGATCCGTAGAGCCTCCTCGTGACCCAGTATGGCCCGACGAATGTGTGCTTTACCTGGAGGTGGGGGGGGGGAATAAGTGGCCATTGGGTGATTGAGGAGAAGTGGATAGGGTAAAGAAGGAGAGAATAAAGAGGAAAGGAGAGGGTTAGAGATGAACAGGGGAATGTCAGTTCTGGTGTTATTGTCAGTACTGTGCTCTTGTCTTAATTTGCCTTCAGCTGCACTCAGCCAACGTGCGCGCTCTTACCGATGCGTTCGCGTTCATCTTTCTTTTTCAGGATGTCAAGAGGAGAGCATCCCTCAGGAAGGCGATCATAGACCTGCGACAACGTCTTCTCCTGCTGGTCCTCATCGTCACTGAGACCCACTGAACGCACAGACAGAATCAATATTAACACGAATAGACAACTGACTGAACCGTTCTCTCCCACCAAGATCGTCTGAAAACAAATGGCCGAAAACTATTGAATGGCACAATGTAACGCCGTGATTGCTTTGCAGTTGATCTGTTCGCAACAGCAATCTTCACTCTGTCCTGCCTTGTTAATTGCTCTATTCTCCTCATTCGCGCAGGAATCTGTTAATAAGCTGCCAAACTCAAAGCCGCTTCGCTCCGTTGTTCCTCCATTCAGTCGTGCCCCATTCATAGCACTGGCTAAAAACTATGACCGTTCACTGGAAACTTGATATAATCGAATGCATTTTGTTTTCAATTTAATCTCTCCTAAAGTGCATTTGTTAAGGTGTAGTAAGAAAGCAAAATTATTAAAAACAAGACCGCAACAATGTCAAAAATAATGGCAAGCCATCAAGAACTAAGGCAGTATGACACTAACTTAGTAACAGCAATGCTGGAGGGTTTTTATTCCCTTACAAAACATCCTTCACCTCGTCTCTCACTCAGCGGCTGGCTCTCTCTGACACTTGATTATACACAGCATTACGAGGCTACATAACTGTAATCCTCCAGCAGTCTACAGTACATCCACTCAATTTTAACTCACTCCAACCATCTCTCTTTCCCCCCTCATTCTCCCTCTCTGCCACTGAGTTCCTGGAAACTTGGCCATGGGTTTTGGATGTGTGTGCGTGTCTCTAAATAGCCGTTATGCAATAGCATTGTGGCTGGCTGTGGTTCAGTCCGGCCATCTGACATGACCAACCCAGTGGCCCATACAGCACTTTAAGAGAAGGATCAGGTTTTCCAGGGTGTTCAAAAGTCTTATTACACCAATCCCCGCATTAGGTTCACACCTTAGCAGCCAACAGCCAGGCTAACACCATAGAACTAGTCGTTTCAAACTGTGGATGTGGAGGTTGTTTATGACTAGAGTGGAAACAACTTTGCAGCCATAAACTCCACCTGTGTTGTTGTCAAAAAGAAGAGGGACAACATTTGATTTGTGCCGACTTTGCCACTAGCTATAGGATTATTGAACAACTTTGTGTTACAGTATGTCTGTGAAGACCACACCCGTCTCTAATTTGCATCTAGTGCACTAGATGCAAATTTATGTGCATTGCAAAAACAGAGTCCTGCTATGACAGTAGTGCTTCTCATCAGAAATAATAACAGCTTGCATGCTTGTGAAATATAGAATTACTAGCAAATAATAGCTGCATGGTGACATTATCTCTTTTTTCAGTTCAACCTTCTCTTTTTTCACATGAAATCTGTGTGAAAATGATTAACATCTCTCAGGTTTTCTTACACTGGTGGTCCAGGAGTGCTGAGGCTACAAAGTAGTGTGCCATGGAGCGGTAGTGGTTGGTTTTGACTTGCGACATGGTGGACCAGAAGAATGGGACATTGTCTTTGAGTGGCGTCTGGATCATGGACTGGTGGACATGGTCGTAGATTTCTGACACCTGGCAGGAAAAGGAGGGTAAAGTTACTGAGAGGACATTAAAAGCACTGATCAGAAGTGAGGAATCAGACTACGGTGACATTATTACTTTGCCTACAGTATATTCACAGCGAAAGAAACAATACACTGCCTAAATGATGTGAGGACTGTGTGTGTGTGTGTGTGTGTCTTTGCTGCCTTTTACCTTTGCAGCCTCCTGGGCCATTTTCATGAGGGAATAGAACTGGTTTCGGATTCCAGGCAGCGCAGTCTTCTCAAACAGGCACTCCTGAGCCTGAGCAAGCATCATCCGGATCAACATACTGAGCATGGCTGGGCTCATGTCGTAGCTGGGAGTGTGGGTGAATGTCTCCTTCAGGTGGTTCAGGATTCCTGGGGGAGAACGAGAGGTCAGCACAGCTCGGAACCAAACTATTCATTTTCATTTTCTGTACCTAGACTTTCTCAGCTTGTCTGGCAATCTGAACTAAAGATCATTTGGTGAGCGTTATAATTTGATTAATGGGACTTTCTAATTGTTTGTGTTTTGTTTGTGATTTTAAGACCCTTTTTTTCTTTAAGACAGGGAATTACATGTCTTTTTTCTTCATTATCTCCATAGTGAAGTTAGTAAATAACAAAAGGCTCTTTCATGTAATCCCAGCAGAATATCTCATTTGCAACTAACATCTTAATGATAATTTCAGATTGTTTTCGTGCATTCTGTCTAGCTCTTTATTATGAAACGTAGCCCCTCAACGAGTTACTCTAAAAGTGGTAGTTGGTACTACAAGTAGTAGTGCTGTACCGATAGTACAGTTAAGGGTTAGGGTAACAGTGAATATTCATGGGCAATGAACTCAGTTTATTTGGGAGAAGCATATGGTTTGCATGTCCACAAAATTACTTCAGTATGCTGGTACATTAACCGTAATTACTGACACACGGTCTTATACAGATGTTTTAAAAGGTTCCATGCAGAGAATTAAGTGATCCAGTTAGTCAGAGCATCTACTTCTTCCTTTCCTAGGGCATGCTGCTGTTACTACAGTATCCAGTGCTGGCAGCGGGCTCAACGTCTCTGTGCGTCTTTAATGTTGAGCTAAGACACAAACCTTCTTAAATTAGTTTTTCATGTTCGATGGAAGCAACAAGACCATCTGCATTCCAACTGAGAACGCATCCCCTCCTATTTTACAGATCAATAACCTCGCAGCAGAGAGATGTAGACAACTTAATAACAGAGCACTGCCTCGCTAGTCCTCGTCTAAGGTTCTGCCATTGTTGGCTGGCTCCTCCCATCCTCTAAGCCTCTTCCGTGTCCCTGGGTAAAGGGCACCGCAGCAGCCCTTCTACAGATAGCATCCCTGCCTATCACCTCCCAGCTTAGTTTATTGTGGGCCCTGTACACTGGTAAAAATGTTCCTCATGACAACATAATTGTTTTACTTAGTAGAATCCTAAATTATAGCCATCAAAGCAACATCATCAAAGCCATGGCCTCTTCAGAGCTGTAATTATACTTCAACACTCCTCATACTGCCAAGTCATAATTCTATCAAGACTTGTCCGAGCTTCCTGAAACCTCAGAGGGTTGGGAAACCAGTTCGTATAATGGGTGCTCCTCTGGAGCTCAGCCACATGACAAGAAGCCAGAGAGACATCAACAGCATTCATTCTTCGTCATGGAGCAGAAGTCAGAGGGTGGAGGCTGGCACACATTATGAAAATAAGGCTGTGTTCATATCAGTGCGCTTTTCCTGGAAACAGTGTGTGCCTTTTTAATGGCAAGGTTCTTAGGAAATGTCTGCAAGGGGAGAGGCTGATTTACATATTACATGTTTAAAAGAACAAACAATTAAGGTGTCAGCTTCATTGTTTAGTAACCTTCATTGTTCTCCTGTCTTTGTTGTTCTTCCTCTCTTTACTTCGATCAATTGTTTCTTACAATGGGAGCATTTCAGCTTAGTTTCTCACATTATTTCCCTCGTTTGAACTACTGAAAGCAGAGATCACGTGGGATCACAGATAAGCCTGGTCTCAGGAAATAAAGAAAAGAGTGTTGTATCTGTAGTATCTGTTTGAACCAGTTTATGACTCCTATCTTTTCCTACCTGCACTTTTCTGGAAGGAAGAGATGGCCTCCTCCAGGCCGGCTATCGTCTGTCGGTTACTACGGGTACCGATCTGAGAGTAGAGGGCGGCCATGTTGAAGAGGATGCTGGCCTTCTCCAGGGACATGTTCTGTTGGCACACCGGCACTCCTGTGAAGGAGTCGTACCTGAAGGAAAGAGGGCATAAGTTGTCACTATATATTTTGGTAAAGCAGGAATCAAAACAGTCTCAGAATCAGGAATTGAACAGGTAAATACAGGAGGAATAAAAGCCTGTATGCCACAATGTGTTGTGAAAACTCTACATCACACCGAAAACGTTGTGAGGGTTTAAGCCTTTAAACCAATATTCTCCATTGTCTCTTTCTTAATGACATGCATTTAGCATGAAGTCAATTAGGAGTTAGATGCTAAAATTGCTAAAATAAATAAATAATCTGTGTGCTTCATTCAGACGTTCATTCTTGAGTTTAAAATATCAAAAAATAAAAAAAATCTACAGTTAGGACAATGTCTGCTCATGTAGACCACCGGTCTTCTCGCTCCCTTTCTAAATAGAATTTCTAATCTGCTTGTAACAGGTGCAAAATGCAGCAGGAAGGTGAAACCAAAATTGAAACGCTGCAGTCGTTATTATGCATCTCTCCTATGAGACAAAGCACAGTCTGGCGTCTTCTGGCAGAGATATACCAGTTGATCCATGGATTTAAGGATGTAAAATGACTGAGCTTTTGGCTTTTAAGCTCTACGGCTTTGGAAAACCCCGGTGTAGGGGCTCAAGGCAGCTAGATTAAAGAGCAAGACAGCTTTCTTCATAATATTCTTTGCTTAATAAGCCCCGTTTTATCACTTCTCACATAACCTCATCTGTTGCCTTTCCGTTTAGGGTTTGGAAGTTAAGGTACTGTTGATGTTATTTTGTAAACCAATATCCTATGAAGAATTTCATGTAGTGCATTCTGATAATTGCTCTTAAAAAGTTGGTGTTAATTAGTAATCATTGGTGTGTACCAGGTGAAGAACATGCCAGTCTGGCGGGTTGGGGGGAAGAATCGGCTTTCCATCAGAGGGAGATGGCTGGAGTATTTTGCCAGCAGTTCCACCCCGGCCTCGTCTCGACTTGGCGTCCTGCAGGCCTAGGAACACGGAGGTAAAGAGATCTGATACAGTCTGCAATGATGGTAAACTTTGTTTACTCTGTTGTTGTTTAAAGGATCAGTCCACCCAAATCACAGCCAAAACCTTTTTTTTTTACTGAAAGTAGTGGTCTTTTATTGTCATTATTATTATTATTTTTATATTATGGAGGCTACTAGAGTAAAAAAAAAGAGCCACGTATCAGAAATATAAAATATAAAGTCAGATCAGACTTTGTGTGTACACTACCTGTCGCAGGTCCATCAGGTCAGCAATCTCTTCTTCAAAACTGTTCCCGTCTTCACTGTAGTGCTCCAAGATGAAGTCCTGTCAGAATCAAAAACAACTCAACATCTCAATACAACATTTTCCTGGCTTGTAGTTGGGGAGTGCTCTAGTGCTTAAACCTGTGACCTTTCGGTTACAGGCCGGCTAATCCACTCTGCCGCATCATTCCTAACTGCACACAGAAGTCCCGTCCGACTGAGCAGTGCCAAGTGGGGCTGGTGAGCGCTGCCATTCTGTCAGAGCCGGCCAGTCATTAAGACTAAGGTCGGTGCGATTACGGTCAATGAGTAGAGCAGCATTAACGTGCTCATTAAGTCGCACAGTCTCACAATTCTTGCCCACAAACCAGAACAGGATGCATAGGCCTGTTAAAGTATCATCAGGACATTTACATAGAGAGCCTCCCCGCATTGGGACACAGCTACATGATAGCTCTAATAGCCCTCCCAATAACTACTGACCCACTTTGGTTAACAAGACAAAACATTTTATGGTCGGATGATTTATAATTCCTAAACAAATAAATGGCAAACATAATGTAGTAGCTGGAGTGGAGGGCGCAGACAATGTGACCCAAATACTTCATGAAAGGAGACTTTCAAGGAACACAGTATTGAAAACACTGACTGCCAATGTGGTCCATATTTGATGAATGTTAATTATCAGTATTTATAACCCTTTATCTGCATATTTCTGTCCTGTTGCTATTGGCTAGCTTCAATTTAGGATAGCTATTCCTCCTTGTTCATAAAGTCTGTGTTTATGCCAACAGGGTCTTTGAGAATGTTCTCCTTGACATATAAGAAAAATGGCAATTTTGGTTATTTGATGATGAAGACATGCAGGTGAGAATGTATCCTTTAAGCTCTTTGGAGCTCAGAAAGTTGTTGCGTTATATCAAAGAGCTATCTTAGCATGAAACATACTAAAAACAATACCAATTCCTTGTATGTGAAATCATACCTGGCCAATAAAGCAGATTATGATAGAAACACAGTTTAACAACATCACATTATTCTGTATCTCTTTGCTGCAAATTTCACTAAAACTAAAGTATTTTTACTTTCAGGAAAATATTGAAGTCAAAATGCCTGCATCACATCAAAATAGTAAATTCAGAATGTCAAATATTCATACACATTTGCTACAATCAAAGGGTGGCGTGGTGAAACTGTAATTGTTGCTTCTGTACCTTGAATGTAGTGGAGAAATCAAAGTCTATTGTCTCCTTCAGACCCAGAGCAATGAGGGGGATGTTGGCTGTTTCCCTGTGAGCAAAACAGAAAGATATCATGATCAGTCATCATATGCTCAATGCAATACACAAAAGGAAATATATTTGAGGTTTGCAACAAGGACAGTAAGTCAGTAAATGCTGACGATACAGCAGAACTTTACATACAAACGGACAATGCAGTGCTTATCTTAATGTGATTTATGTACGCACGGACAAACAGCTAAGCACTGATACAATAATAGGTCAATGCTGAACAAAAGCAGGCTCTAAGGTGTGGTGCAAGATATCAAGCAACAAGAAACTCCCTTTGACAACAGACCCAGCCTTGTTAGGGATATCACGACAATAACAATGTCAGATTATAATGAATATACATAATGTGCAGTGCCAGGATCACACCAGTGATGGCTTTGGTAATTAAGAAAATGTACATTTACATCAAATCTTTAGTGTAGCTTCATAGAGGGGAAGTCAGGATTAGACAGATGGTGCTGTAAGCAGACACTTTAGGAGTTAGGATTTAAAGGTGAATGGGGCCCCCACGTCTCCTCGTGTTGTAAAGCCTCACATCTCTCTGTTGATAAATCATTGAGGAGTTGCAGCCCTGCTTCAGTAATGCTAACAAGCAGGCTCTTTACCTCCTATTATTTTTACTGACCAAAAAGCAAATAGAGTTTTTTTTCTGGCTGTGTGAACCTGGAGGTCCTAGCTGCTGACAGATGGAAAGCAGGTTCAGCTTGTTATCAGAGCGGAGGAAGTACAACCTGACAGATACCTGCTGCCGATCAGACAGAGTTGGTAGAAAGAAAAAACAAAACTCCCCCTTCCGAAAGCAGGAGACTGAGGTGTTACTAAATAAATTGCCCTTTAAAAAAACAAAAAAGCAAGCTTGGGTAGCTTCTGGATTTGCTGAGCATTTTATTCTTCAAACTTCCAAAGAGGCCAACAGCAGCCCAAACTTCAGTTCCAACACGAACAAGCCCCCGTGGTGTTGTTATCCCAAACCTATTTTAAATGAGGACTCCTTCCATCAAGCAGAGCCTTTTCCCTGCATGCAAGATGTCAAAAGCACAGGGTTTGGAAAAACAACACCTTACACGCTCATTCATCACTTGACGATAAGGCAGCATTCCTCTGGCATACTGGCTCCGTGAATCACAGAAAAGCTCATTCATCAGTAACAGGCTGCAGTGTAATCCATTAGCACTCATAGATGAGATCGCTCCGGTCTCTTCTCTGGTTTGGCAGAGGGGAGGGGCGTTGGGGGGGGGGGGGGGCTATCCGTTCTGCAGAGAATCTGAAATGTTGAAAGCCTCTCACAAGCTCACTCCCCCCACACACACACACACACACACACACACACACACACACACACACACCTTCCCACTCACCGTAAGTGTCAGTGTGTATGACATGGAACAGACGACCATCGCCACAGCAGTCAAGCGAAACTCTGGTTTTAGCTACGGCCCTTAAGCCCTTTACTGAACATCAAAACTCTGCATCTAGAGTCGTTTTGTTTTGCTACACAGTAGACCGACATGTTTCTGGCTTCTTGGCCTCTTCGGCTCCCACAGGAGTTGAGTGGTGGCTTGTGTAAGTTAGCCACAGTGCGAGTCTGCTTCAAAGGAAAGGTTGCACATTTTGGGAAGTACGCTTATTTGTTTTCTTGCCCGTAGTAACATAAAAACATCTTCTCGTGTCTGCCAATTAAATATGAAAGGAGAGCAAGGAGACAGGGTTGGCTTAGCTTAGCATAAAGTCTGGAAGCAGTGGGGGAAACTAGCCCGGCTCTTTCCAAAGGTATGAAAAAAAAAATCAACCTACCAGCACCTCTAAAACTCTCTATATCTCAGTTGTGTAATACATAAACGACATGTTATGGTTTGCAACAAATAAATGTTTTGTTTTTTTACAGTTAATTTATTCTTATTCATTAGCCTGATCAGCAATCAAAACAAATTTAAGAAATTGTGATCATACTTAACCATTTCGCCACCTATCTATTATTATCATTATTCATTGTTGGATCATTAAAAGTACAAGCTCATCTCTCTAACAATAGATGACCGTAAATCATTCTTTCGCCTCTATCTCAGCAAAGTTAATGTAGCGTCCGGTAGTGCTGACGTCTCTCTTTTCACTCGTCAGCACTTTTGCTGTGCTGATTCAGAAAGTCTGTAAGTAAGTTCAGCTTGCTGTCCAGGTCAAGAACATTACGCACAGCAACCGAACAAACATTTACTACATCACAGCACGAGTAACATGTTGGTACTGTGGGTGACACTGAAGGAATATCACACTCATAAATGTGTATAGTAAGCATGTTGTTCAACAAAGTGCTAATGGATAAGAGGTGATGATAAGATTGTCAAGCTACAGCAAGTGAGTAGCTGTTATTATTCTCATGGGGCGGTTGAAGTGGGTCACTAATGTCATGTGCAGCAAGCGTGCTGCACTCGTCACATATAATGTGCTTTCTGTCGTGCATTACCTCATGCTAGAAGCAGCTGAATCTGGTCTGAGTGAGATGTAACCTCAGAGAGGGGCTATTCAGAGGACGGCGTGCGTGGGAATAGCCTCGAAAAGGCGAGGAGAGTCGTTTTTGTTTCCGTGCTTAAGGCCGAGGTTGTATTTCAGGCTGAGAGGAGGAGCTCTCCATTGTGCCTCTACACAACGTCATCCCACCTGCTCAGACTTTCTCAACATATCCAATATTCCCGCGTGCATGCTACCTGTCCACCTGTATGTGTTGGCCTTTTGTAGATCTGCTGGTGTGAATGTGTTGACGTGACCACTTTGGACCGTGCACAAGCTCAGTCTTCTTTTAAAAACAGACAATGGTGGCCAGCTGATGGTAGTTTCCCAGCATGCCTATTGTCTATGGATGGAGCAGGTGCTTCTTTAAGAGCCTGCCAAGGAGGCTGGTGAGAGGCTGAATGTTCCCACACTCGAGCCCGTCTGAGCCCATGTGACACTTGGGACACTTGGGCCTTAAGATTGTACCGAAAGGCAGCTGTTGCATTTTGTCCACTTCCATGTAATTATGAAAATTGTTATTTAGGGTTTTAGGTCATCTGCAGATTCAATCTAGCTCATTAAAAAAAACAAATAAATGTGTTTCGGATGAAAAGAAACAGCCTGATAGTAGCAGCTTGGTGCTTTGGAAAAAAAACACATCCGTCAATGATCCTCAGAAATGGTACCATAGTTACCACCATACAACAACCCATTACCCACAATCCTCCACAATCTCCTTCCCTTTCTCTTCACTCTGTTGTGATTTGTTGTCATGGGCAACATAGCATCCTCTACAGAAGTGTGTTGTGGTTTGTGTACGAATGGTAATCAATATAGGCATCATACATGTTTTTTTATAGTGTGTGGATCACACATGCTTGAGGTGTATATGTATATGCATTTTGGTATTTCCTCATGTGCACCTCTATGAATGGGTAGTGCAGGTTTAGTCTTAATAGCATGTGTACAGTGCATTTGTTCACTCGTGTGTGTATGTGTGTGTGTGTGTGTGCGCGCGCACGCCTGGGCAGATGGTTCATGGCGGTCTCAAGTGTTCTCAATAAGAAGAGCCACCTGGAAGCAGAAATGCTTCAATCGAGAGCCTTTAAATCATCAGAAATCCTGTTAACAACACTGTCTCATGACTTTATATTTGAAAGTGTTATGTCCGTGACGGAAATCCATTATCGCCTTTATTATCTCTAAAATTGAGCTCCCGCCACTGCAGTGTTTGCGTTCAGTCAACCAAGTGCGGTCCTTCATGAGGCACTATAGTTTAAGGGTGCAATGTGTAAGATCTGGACAGAATTTCCATTTAAAACATTTAATGAATTAATTAATGCCATCAACAGAACGTGAAGAGGTTGCAGTGTTGACTTAATGTCAAAGACATCTATGTATTGTGCTGCAGAGATATCTATCGTACTGAGATCAGACGTCTCACTGAGTAGCCCCAGCCTGTCCTGTCATGTAATACCACTTGTACCTCAGGAGGCGATAGTGAGTCACTCGTGTCCATTTTCAGCAGTAGGTCAAATATTGCGTGTTCTTGCCTTGCTGTTAGTTAGTAGTTACCCCCTTTTTTTTTTTTTTTTTTTTAAATAACTGTTGACTGTATCCTCATAGCATACATACTGTATTTTCATCCACAGCCCATAAACTTGGCTCGTCTTTGAATAAAGAAAACACCAGAAGCTATCAGTGTCACTCATGCCAATACACACTATGCTCAGACCGACTGAGAGAAGCTTTGAATCAAACGCTTGTCTCAGTTTGCATGCAAGTTCAGCTCATAGTTTCCTTGTTGCCGCGTGCATTGTATCACAAAAACCAGCCGGTCCAGTTCAACAACAACAAACTCATGCACTTTGTCTTCATGTATTTCAACAGGCCTCCCCCTTCCGCCATACACCAATTTTCTCTGCTCCTCTGTCATCGAGTGTCTTAACCACAGAGTATCAGAGCCAGATCAGTCTCTTGTTGGCTGTCAGTCAACACTCTGTGTCATTCTTCTTCTGTATGAATCCTGGTCTGAGATTCAGATCTGCAGATTATTTGTAAACTGGGATTACTTTGACAAATCCTCACTTCTTTGGGAATTAGAATTTGTTTCACATTAAGGTTTAATATTGTTGGGTCAATGGTGTCCTTATGTGAAGAGAGCACTGGTACCCAGGTCACAGGTGTCAACCCTGGAAAGCTCTGGCTGCTATGCATGTATTTAACATGCAATCTATTTAATAGCCTCATCCCAGGGTGTCAGCATGAAAGTAATAACTTTTTAATTGATTTAATATGCAAGTAATTACATTGTATTGCCTGCGGATGCATTGCTACTGGCGGAACAAACCTGCATGTCATTTTTATTGGTGATTTTAAACCAGCAGCGCAGAATAGCTGTGTTTTTTATTTTATCTTCATTTCACTAATGCCCTGAACAAGCTTGTATGGCAGGTGTCGACATTTCTTCCTTTTTATGGAGATGTTCGTCACTTAGAAGTAGCTCACATATTGCACCAGCGGTGGCCGTAGTGGAATCAGTAGCAGCAAAAGAGGGAGCAGAAACACTTGGACTTACTGGGTGTCCTGGTACACCTCCACTGAGCTGTTGAGTCCCTCCAGCTGTCCCATCAGCAGCTGCAGGTTGGAGTTAACGTAGCTCAACTCCAGCAGAACCATCTCTTTCACCTTGTTGTTGGACGTAGCCCTACAGATTGGAGAGGAACAAAAAATGAAGACGCAAAAGGGTCACAAAATGTTTGAAATAAAAGAGAAGAAAAGAATTATCAGCCATGTTATTATCCACTCTGACGAAGCCAAACGTTCCTGCAGCTGATTATTAAAACAAGCGTGCCTCCCCCGCTATTCTGGACCACAGACCTGCGTCACTGTGCCCTGCTGTGCACTTGATTTACCCTCCAGCACACAGCAGCTTTACCAAGATCTATGAATCACAGTTGCGATCCCTGTGTAGTACAAATGCAATGTGATCGCACAACTTGGAGAGGTCGTAGGTCAGAGGTCCACCACATTTCAATATTATTTGTTGTACATTTATGTCAACAAAAGGTTCATCATGTACACGTGTGTGAATACTGTACGTTATTTATGTTGAGGTGGGTAAAGACTAGGGCATTACACTGACTGTGTGTGTGTGTGTGTGTGTGTGTGTG